ATATCTGAAAGTACATTAAGTGGTAAGTCATCTTCTGGGTTAGGTGTATCAGCCTCATTTTACTGGTCTTCACTTGGCGTCTTTTCATGCTTAAACCCTGCTTTGGAGAAGCAATTTTGCACTGTTTCTTTGGTTACTTCGTCCCAAGCGATTTTTGCCAAATAAACTGTGTCCAATAACGTAATTTTCTTTATTAACTCAAAAACCGTACCAGCAGTTTCAATGATTACTAGCAGGTGTTTGGGTATTAGACTCCGGTAATAAGTTTTAAAACTCTTTATAATGACAAGCTAAATGTTTCTATTTTCTTTGGCCATTTTCCAATCTAGGTCTTGCAACCACTGTCATAATTTCGAGACATTTCTACGATGAATGCGTCGCTCACTGTGTCTTTTCCGCATGGACGTCAGACTAGCGATGCTTTCATCGAAAAAAAATAAAACAAGGCGTTTCTTTTTATTTTGTTTTATCTCCGGTTAGGAGAACATTTTCTCGTGTCCGTGTCCGGTCTCAGAGGATGTCCGTCCAAGAGAGAGTTAATACAATTTAGCAATATATTTTGAATCAGAAAAAAGGAACTATCATTTTCCCTGAAAATATATTGGCTGTTCCGTTTAAAAAAAAAATTTATTCCATAGCACTGAGAGTATACAAAAAAATATTACAGGAAGAACTTCATATTAGACCCTATAACTTTTGTATACGACTTTTTCTTCTAGAACGTCATATAAAGAACGGGAGGGGGTGAATTTATATCAGAAAAAGTGTATATGTATAAACATACTTCGAAAGAGTGGGAAACATCCAATTAATCAAATCGGATTGATTCCTGTTCACCGCTTGTGCAAAATTTCACGTAGGTTATTAGCAGCCTCTTTCACCATTTTTAAAACAAATTCCGCTCTAGCGCTGCCTGAAAGTTGGGAGTGTAATAATTTCATTATTAATTAATGGCCAAACGTTGGTTTAGGGTTGCGCGTCCCTTGGGCAAGTGTGGCCGAAGCATTACCCCAGAGAAACACCTGCAATGAGTGGAGCCTTTTGCAAGTTGGTCCTAACTACAGAAATTGGAGTTGCAGAAAAGACTTTATAGTATACTAAGTGACATATAAATCCGAACACCCAGTTTAAATGGTTCTATTTCAATAAAAGTTGGTGAATGTATTTAGCTTACTGTAAATAACAAGTGAAAAAATTTTCAGCCTTATCAGTTGGACATTCCGGTTTTTATACTGCTTTTTTTTAATTCACTAACGCTCTAAAAATGAATATTTCAGCCGCAGTAAAGAATCAACGTTGGCGGATTTTGGTTCTTGACATCCTCTACGATCGGTTACGATGCCTAGAGTACGGAGACCTGTATAGTGGGACTTCGGGAAGCTGGACTTTCTTTTCGGGCAATTGCAGTTAGGGTGCAAAGAAGTGTAGAACACTGTGGTTAGGTGTCGTCAGGCATGGCTTCGAGAAGGCCGTACGCAAAGAGCAAGGGGCACTGGACGCCGCCGTAGAACAACAGACCGTGAAGATCGCCGCCTAAGATTATTGGCCTTAAGGGACCGTTTCTCCACTACCAGGTCCATTGCAAATGAATGGTTTGCAGAACACGGAAGACCTATTGGCATGCGAAGTGTTTACCGACGAATGAGAAGTTTTGGCTTGTTTTCATACCGTCCACACTGGGTCCTCCCTTTAACTCGAGAACACCGACGTAATCGCCTTGAGTGGTGCAGACAACGGTCACTCTGGGATCAGGAATGGAACAGTATTGTCTTTAGTGACGATTCTCGATTTTCTTTAGGCATGCACGATGGTCGTGCCAGGGTTAAAAGACGACGTGGTGAAAGGAGGAATCCACAGTTTTTTGTTGAAAGACATGTTCATCACACTGTTGGAGTTATGGTTTGGGGTGCTATGGCTTATGGTTCCAGGTCACCTTTAATCTTCATCAGAGGTAACATGAACGCGCAGCGTTATATCCACGAAGTTCTAGAACCCCATCTTTTACCCTATCTTGACACCCTGGCAGATCCAACTTTCCAACAAGATAATGCCCGACCACATGTTGCAAGACTCACAATAGACTTCTTTCAACATAATGATGTCACATTGTTACCATGGCCACCAAGATCTCCCGACTTATCCCCAATTGAGCACGTGTGGGATATGATGGGTAGGAGATTGCTCAATTTGCAACGTCCTTCTCAGAAGCACTTCGAGAGGAGTTGGTGGTTGCCTGGAATGAGATACCACAGGAGGACATTGACCACCTGATCAGAAGCATGCCTAGACGCGTTGGAGAATGCGTAGCACATCAGGGTGCATCCACACATTATTAAAGGTCAAAGGGCTTTAAAGCAGTACAATCATTTTGAAATTTTTATCATTTACTTATTATGCTTCAGTAAGTACTTATACAAAATTTTATTAAAATAAAACCATTTAAACTGGGTGTTCGGATTTATATGTCACTTAGATATTAAAAAATCTTCAAATGGAGTGAAGTTTTGTCGATTAGACAGTGACAGATGCAAACTTATTTTATTTCTAATCATATTGTGAGGGTCCCTTCTAACGAGTCTTCACGTTACCAAGCCCAAAATTGCATCAAAAATATTTGAACAACTTTTTTAAATACATTCGAAAAATTGCTTTTTCCGCTCTAGATTTTTTTAGGTTGCTTGGGAAATTCTTTTAAAAAGTAGTTATCGAGATATAAGCAATTAAGTGTTTGAAAAGTGCGATATATGCTACTTTCAACCTCAAAAAACAGTATAAGTATTGTTATTTTGAACCATTTTTCTTTTTTAATTTTTAATCAAGCGCGTGCTCAATGTATATTCTGAGTAAAATGTAGCTTTGGATTTTGTAATGGCTCTTTGACAACATTAAAATATTCATTTTTTCATATTATATTTTAAACTTTTTAAAATATTAAATCGCTTGAAGAATAGTTCATGTGTCAAATAGAAATGCTTTTTCCTGAGCGAAAGAAACAATTTTTGAAATCCAACAAATTGAAAAAAAAATTTAAACAATTTTTGACGCAGTTGTTGGCGTCGCAACATACAGAATGCTTGAAAGAGGTCCTTTTTGAATAAGGTTATTGGAAAAAACGAAATAGAATATGTTTCTGAATGGAGTCGAAGTTCCTTCTGGATGAGTGAGGTTACGGTTCTGAAAGCTGTGTCGTTCTTTTCAATACGTGAAAGTATGATATTTATTATTGCTATTGGCATTGAATAACGTACTCTAACTGAATATAGCCCCCCTAATACTATGTTTCGGCGTCAACAAAAAATTCCGAGATGAAATGAGATACCATCGCGCCATATATGAAAATTTGTTACAGCTATGTTTCTTGTTTCTGCAACAATTATAAATCTACATTAAAAAGGTTGGTAACTCATAGATAGCGCTGGGTAATTGTTTGGACGCCAAAATACACTACATAGTTGAGTACTCTCAGTACCTTAATCAATGGTAAGCTCCTTTAATTTGTAATAGAAGAAGAGCGGGTAATATCTAATAGATACCCCTAAGCAAGTTCAAGATTATGAAAAGTACTTCAGAATGCATAAATCATTCTGATCTTAATTAAATTTACTATTAGGTGAAATTTTTAAGAATCTTTCCATTTTCACTCAGCAATGCAAAACAGAATTGATCTTCTGCTTGATCCAGTGCTTCCGCCTAAATGTGAACAATTTATATTCTGCGATATGTAACAATGAAAAATGGCCGGCGTTGCTGCTTAATTTTCCTGGTAACTTTTTGATTTAGTATGGGTATGTAGGTTGAGAATGTAGGTTGTAGGATACTAATAGTATGTTATATATTTTATGAGAAAATAGTAGTTATTTCTGACTGGAATGAAACGAAGGGTGGCAGAAATCTATTAGGATACTGAGCGAATTATATATATAATTATATTCAAAATTAAAGACGATTACTCTTATTATTGAATATTCTTGTCGTCCATAATTTCTTTTTTAATTACATATGTACATAAAGAGAAAAGTATCATACAGAGAAAGGTATATAACAAAAAAAAGGAAAATAATGGGCAAAATCCGCAAAAAGGGAAAGTGGATTCGAGAAGAAAATAGGATAGGTAACCCGAGCAATACGTATTTCTGCTTGTTGGTTTCATCAGGCCCGAAATGAATGCACGTATGCAACCACAAAAGTAGATTCACATACATACATCCGGCTAGAGGTGTAACCTGAGGAAAATGGGTAAAGGGAAAAATGACACACGAACTCCCCAACAAGAGCCAACCTACACATTGTAGTATAAAGTGGCTAAAAGACCTCGAGATCAAGGCGACATCTAATAACAACCACGCGGCCGGTAATAGCCACTTGGTGTGGTACTTCAAGCCCAAAGGATCTACAAAGAGAAAATTATGATGCGGAGAAAAAATAGGATTTTGCCCATTATTTTCCTATTTTTTGTTATATACCTTTCGCCCCATGATAATTTTCTCTTGGTAGATCCTTTGGGCTTGAAGTACCACAGCAAGTATCTATAACCGGTCGCGAGGTTGTGGTTAGATGTCGCCTTGAAAATTCGAGGTCCTTTAGCCATTTTATACCACAATGTGTAGGTTGGCTCTTGTGGGGGACTTCGTGTGTCATTTTTTTCCCTCTCCATCTTGGTTTCCTAAGGTTACACCCGTATCCGGATGTATGAGCATGTGTATCTACTTTTGTGGTTGCATATATGTATGTGCATTCATTTCAGGCCTGATGAAGCCAATAGAAGTACGTATTGCTCGGGTTACCTAACCTATTTTCTGCTCGAATCCACTTTCCCTTTTTGCAGATTTTACCCATTATTTTCCTATTTCTTGTTTTATATATATATGAAATACAAATTACAAAGTAAACTTCTCAAGCTACTCACTATATCTTTTTTACCTCTGCTTTCGAGAATCAATTTTATATTTTGATATTATGAAAATGACGTTGCATTCGAGGATTAACGTAATTTTCTTTTTAGATCAATGCGGAAAGTGCAAGGCCGCCACAAGAAGGTTAAATTTAAACAAGTACTGCAAAAGAGACTTCGGTGAGTACATATTATGTAGATTTACTTACACATACATACGTATAACATTCGACATTCCTATAATAACACAGGCCCAAAAATAAAAAATGGTGTCAAGTAGATTGACTCCATACTAGGCGAAATGGGTGGGTACATTTAAGAATCAGAAGATATGTGTAGATATAAAAACAATTAATGTCATCATTCACAAAAGCATGACAAATCACTAAAGTGATACTAACTCGCAATGCTCAAATATTCCTAAAATATATAAATATTCCCCTATATCGGTGTGTCCGTATCCACATCGCCGCAATACACCATCAGTTCCAGTTATTTACCTATTACGCTTGATGCAGTCGGCAATGGCCTCTACGACGATGCAGCGTTGCAGGATCTGGCCACGCGCGCAATGCCAGCGATTGCAAGTTATTTCGAATTATGAGCACATTATACATTGAACTTTAATGATAGAACGTCTTTGACTTATACTAGAGACGTAACATTTACAACCCCCTACCCAAAAATGTAGTAAAGCCCCCTAAACACACACCACTTTTTATCTTTGCATGCGTTTTCTCAAAAAATTTGTCCACCGACCCCCAAATTTAAATCCAGGTTCGTGTTCAGTGTAAAAAAATACTTGGAAGAAACATGTGACAATTTACAGAGAAAGTAATACATATTGAACAAAATATTATGTTAATCGTCTATCAGATAAAAACTGTAAGCTCAGATAGAAAAAATATTTCTTCCTAAGCTAATACAAAATGAAAAATCCTGAATTAGTTTTTCATTCGCTAACCACGAATTAAGGCACATGAGGGTCCAAACGGATTTATCGCGCCTAATCTGTTGCGGGGTTCAGTAGTGGTCAGTGCAGCCCTAGAAAATTATCTTTGAATGAAAGCTGATGTTGCAGGTGTCGATAAAAAATCTCTTTCCATCAAAACTAGATTTGGGTATACATTTTCATGCCTTTTCGTCTACTCGTGATTATTTGCATTAAAATATAAAATTCGGTTCATGGTTTGTACAAAGCAATACCACTGAAGACCTTTTGTAGAACAAAAATATAATTTGCCATCAATCCAGTAGTTTGAAAATCCTTGACCTCAAGTCAAGTACAACAATAAAAAAATCAAGACAAGTAAAGCATTAACGTTTCAACTAATTTTATTTTCAAGTCAAGTAGTTTCTAAAAATATCAAGCTACTTGATGAATCCCTAGTATCTTCTAACGTCTCACTTACACATTGGAGCCAACATTGGAGTCAACGTTCGTGGCGACATGGTATAATGTCAATCAGGGCCAATGTTGGCCAACCGCGGCCAATGCGCAGTGGTTTAGCGTCCACACATTAACGTTGTCCAATGTGTGAATGTGACATAACAAGCTCATGTATACACGGACTTCTTAATCGAAATATCGATAGATATCCGACAACAAATAACAATGCTTTTATATTTTAGCGATAATGGCGAGAGTGCTGTCCCGAGTAGACGTAGACAAAGAGCACATGAAAGGATGGGTCAAATTCATGGTTCGAGTAGAGTCCATCTACAAAAAGGCAAAAGATTCAAGGATAAGCAAGGGTATTATGCCCATGCTGGTACCGATTAGTGATCTAACCTGCAAATGTCCCAAAATTAAACCAGAAAGGTAAGATTTAGTGTATTAAATTTATTATGTAATGTTAATTGTCACACCAATGGGGAATATGAACTTCCCATTTTCCCAAAACCATTTTTATTTTTTCCTGACTGTATTTGAGATGGGATGACGATTTAAAGGGTACATAAACATTGCCACTTTTTCTCTTCTACAAGATCGCATAGTTAGAATTTCAATATGAGGTTTCAGCTGTTGTCCTCAATCATCAACTTTTTTTCTTACAGACGCCATATTGAATTTTTGCACACGTGAATAGATTTTTTAATTCTGATTCTAATAATGTATGTCGTACATTGTGACGTTGCGAAACCTTAGTTGTTCCAAAAAATAGAATTTCTTAAGTAGGCCTTGAAATTATTAGATAGTCAATTGGCATATGTGAACAGTACCTATTTCTAGTTTCAACTATGATATTATACAACCTCTGACGTCTAAAAAAGTAACTTATTTGATAAAGAACAACCTATAGCTAAAACTTTTTTATATTATTTGTAACATAGAAAACAGTATTATTTTATGTAACTGAGATACATTTTGGAGTAAATAAAAGCCTCAACGATGTAGCAGCTCCACAAGCAAATTTTATTTCTGCCATATCTTAACCGATGCACACATTCACTGTTATAATCTACGGCTGAGGTGTCATACAGATCACCTCCTCTTGAAAAAACTATCTGAATGTTCTGCAAACAGGCCAACTATGAGAATGTTATTGGAATAACTTAGGTTTTACAAAATCAATGCATGACATAACTTTTTAAAATCAGAATCAAAAACTCTATTCATCAAAAATCCAATATTTCGTCTAGAAAAACAATGTTGATGATTGAGGATAAGAGACGAAACCTCATATTGAAATTCTAACTATGCAATCTTGTAGAAGAAACGCCACGCCACGAAATTCTAATTACATCTTGGGGGCCAAGACTAGTTCCAAACAATAATGAACGAGTGCTTATAAAACTACATTAGGGCGAATAATAATCCTGTACTTAATTTCTATCATGTATTTATTACTTTCGGCAGGTCATACCTGATCCTGGGCCGAGAACGCGACGACTCCCCCGGAGGCACCGTTTCCGGCCAATTGGGTGTCACCCAGAGGTCCATCGTGATTGAGTGGCGGGACGAATGGGACCAGCGGATGCGCCGCTTCCGTCGCCGAGCCCGGAAATGCAAGTGAGCGCCATTTACCATGATGCGCATGCGCACCAACTAACGACGAACGTCATTTCTGATAGACGAATGATGCGGGGCGTTCTCGATTACAGGTCTGCTGTGATTTATTTATTTCTCTGTTCAGTATTTTTTATTGATGATGTTGCTAGCATGACGTTTTACTCTCATGATTGCGGAAGGACAAAATTTAGCAGGCGTATGTTTTAAACCACGTTTTCACAGGGCAAAAAAGACGACAGCGTGGCACGTGACTCTTGTCTTGAGTGTAGAGAGAAAACTGAACCAGAGAGGATCGTGGACTGTTCACACGATCACGATTCAGTTTATTTCATGGAGCCGGTCATGAAGAAGCTTCTGATTGATAGTTGTGCTCCTTTTAGTTCAGATTTTGATCGTACGTTAGCAAAAAGTTTGAGATACACGACAGATAAAAAACAAAAGAAAAACCTGTATTGGATCAGGAAGTGGATACTTGCATGAAGTAGTTTGGGGATACACATTTTGCCAACCTGAAGATTTTAAAAAAGTGACTACAAATGAAGTTGTCGTCAGAGGCAAATGCACGATATTTGGTTTAGACGCGAGCAATTCCACGAACGCAAGGATCACGCTAACGTCCCACGCTCCGTGACAACGCAGCTTTACGTTTGAAGTTTGGTGGGCAGATTTTGCAACTTTTCATTCAAGGTGAAGACACTTAATACTTTTTGAAGGCAAAATATTGATATTCTAAATAAAAAAATAAAACATGCTTCATTACTAATATGATGCTTGATGCAGAATATGTTTTCTATACTACCAGAAATCGGTAGGTCCTTGCGTTAGTTTGAGGAAAACAGCGAAATAAGTCTCGAGGTTAAGGAACTACACTATTACACTATGTGCTAGGTAATAAGGAGGCATCAGATTAAAAAAATTCGCCCTAAGATAGATACATAAGCCTCCTAAAGTAAATAAAGGCGCGCCCTCAATGGACGAAGGGCAGCGAAAAGACGAGAAGCGAAACTCCTCCGCTATTCTATGTGTAAAGCGTACCCCAGAATAAGGAGATGCCAGAAACGACTATACTACCTTAGGGCTGATTTTACAATATCACTTGAAATAGAGATGAAATTTCTGGAGTTCTCACATAATAAGTTCTTGAAAATCATGACATCTGCTGAAATTCTAATCGCAATTCTAAAGAAGAATAAATTTGTTAAAAGTGAACCTTCTGCATCTTACAACGTTTTTCCGGAACTTTGGGTGACCAAAATATTCATTTTCTAATATCTAATTTTCTAAACCTGTAAATCTAACAGTACCATTACAATTGAAATAAGATCTATCCCAACAAAATGTTACTATATCAGATTGATTTGACAAAGATAGTGATGTTATGCATACGCCTTTCTATTATAAACGCTATTTATGCAAGATATGCATATGTAAATATTACATATTGAATGTAAATCTCTCGTCATCCAATAAATGGTCTTTAAGTATTATGCAGAATATTGACATGTTTTCTCATTGTCAATCATCATATAGCATACCTTTGCACGCATTGTTTTATTTTATAAAAAAACACTCCGTCAAATGAAAAACATGTTGGTTTAGGAATTAAATTTGTACAAATCTGATTCAAATACTCACCATTATTACGCAACAAGTTTACTCCCCTTAACCATATCATATTAGTATTTACCGCATATCTTACGCGTATGATAAGTTTCAATTGGTCAAAACAGTGATAACTGATATCGTGCTTCGGGTGGAAATCAACAAATAGAAACTCATCTCCCATTTTTGCCTACAAAAATTAATTGTTCTTTCACATATAAGCTCCATGGTCTACCTATGAGATGTCCTCGTCTACACGCGTTTGGTTCAGCAAAAATTCACACTACAGTGCTCATGAAGCAATCCTAGTGGTGGGAAAATACCTTTATCTTATTTGAACGATTAAGTTGCAAAATATTTTTAAACAAGAGTAAAATGGCATGCTTTTGTAACTACTATAATACGGCTCTGTAACTTACCATTATAATTTAGGATTTAAATGCAATGTACCAAATGCATTTCTTGTATTCAATTTTCCCGAACAAATTTTAGTCCGTATTTTATTTTGTACATATTTTATCGATTATAATTTTAGCTTGAAAAGTACCAAGTAAATGTAGCAATGTCTCTTCCAAAATAAATAATGAAATAAGACTACGGCACTAATACTATACTATTATAGACTTTGTATACACCCATCAATTCATATTTACTTGGTACTATCTGTATTATGTGTATTATTTATTTATTTTTATAACAATTGTGTGAGAGAAATGACTGTGAGGATTTAGTTTAAGTGAAGTTTTAGTCTTGCATTTGGAGAATATATCAAATTATTTAAAATGAATATACGTAATATGTAGTAATGTTTTTTGATGCCATATATAGACGGTTCCCGTTAAACATAAAGATAGTATTACTCAGTTTTTGAAAGAATTATTGAAAGTAAAAATGTGAAAGTTCACAAATAATTGTATCAATCGAATTATTACATCATACAGAGATTTGTATATTTAAGGGAATTTTCTGTAATACATTATGTACATTTTTATAAGCACTTTCTTTTGATAGAGTTGTAGTACATACATAGTTCTTACTTTTCTTATTGCCAAGTGGTAAATTCAGATTAAGCGTTATTATCAAGTCAGTTTATTTTCTAAGATATTTCTCACGGTATATTTCTATTAAACTGGCGGGCATTATTACTGAATCCCAATAACGTACTCTGTGCAGTAGTGATCTAGATTTTTCAGTGCTGTTTAGTCAGATTTCTGTTTATCAAGGTTTTCACTAAAGCTAATTTCCTAAAACAAAACACGATCATTTATTTTTCAACTGACCGACTTTTTTACTTGAATTTTACTTGATCTTTAATTCCAAAGACTCGGATTTAGTTGGAACATCGAAAAATATGTTCAAATTTCATCACCTATGATAATTGAATTTGCAATACTCTGCTCTCCAGATTCAAAGTATTTTCAACATTATCTTGCACCAAGTCCCTCACCTCCTGTTTGGCAGAGTCATGTATTATACTTTGGCTCACTCTGTACAATACAATTATTACATCATGTTATGATTATCTCATTATCCTTCTACTGCCACAACTTGGCATTTATCTCACACATGTAACCTAATAATGTCCTCTATGGTTTTTCAAAATGAGCTTGTGTGCAAATTTCTATTTCATGACTGTATACAAATATTTGTATCCTTTGTTCTGTAATCATATAATTGATATAGCAACCGACTATTGTAGTAGTAGTTGTTAGATTATTCTGCGAAAAATAAAGTGTTTTTTAAAAACTCTCGTTCGCGACTGGTAAACATAATTCCACTTAATGTATGAGGTATCACTTCGTTCAGAAACATAGTTTTTTTAATTGCCCATGTGTGATTCGCCTATATTTTATTATAGCTTCTCTCACAAGTGCTATGTTCTTTTCGGTTACGACTTTACATGCTCGACCTGAACTTCTAAACTCTTTATGTTTGAAATTTCAGTAGCATCTCTCGATAATTCCTACGAACGGCTTATACTAACCAAATATTTTTTCATTACTCATTTTTTCTCTCTAGCGTACGTAATAGCGCGTCTTTAACAATCTATCTTTCTTTGAAAATAAACTAAGCCTGAAATACTCGCTAAGCTCAAAAAATTGTAACCCTAAGCATCATATATTTAGGGTTTTTCAGACATCAAATAGCTAATAACTCAAAAACTGTCAACTTTAGAAACAAATTACTGAAGGAATGTTTTGCTCAGAATGATAAAAAAAAACTGAAAAACGCAGTTTGTGATTTCTTAAGAAAAAATGTACAAATTTGCCACCCGGCAACCTCTTAGGAATTGGAAAACTTCTACCACTAAAGGGCGGTTTTCAGCTCGCCTATAGCTCGAGTTTTATTAAAACACAAACTATTCCTTGGATTTTCTTTGTGTCGGATTATATTTTGGACGCTTAATGTTAGTCAGTGTCTTGGCTAACAGTACTCACAGAACTGCCAATCAATAAAAGTATTGTGTACCATAAATTTGCCGTGAGAAATATTCATCAATGAATCAACTAAACTAAAACTAATCTGTATGTGTGCTTTGAATGAAAAAAGTATGATCAATAACAATTGTACAGTATTATTAAGCGATTTTGCTAATAAAATATTCCATAAAATCCACATATTTCATGCTGCTGCATTCATGTAATATTTATTAACTAGTTCCTAGAGGCCATATAAAAGGTATAAATGTTTCAAAGATGTTCTCGACAAAAATTTAATCTTAGATATAGCATTCGATGTTGTCAACATATCAGATTGTAACGTGTTTTAGCAATATATTTCTATTATAAAAATGTTTAATAACTTCAGTTGTATCTGTTGAAGATCAGCTGTCATGTCGGTACCATATGTAGTTATGTTTTCAGTGCCTCTATACAATGTGCAGAATTTGAAAGAACAGAAATCCGAGGATATCAAAATACATGCAGTTATTAACTATATAAAAGATATATGAAAACCATCAGATTTATCAAAACTCCGACAAGATACTGTTTGTGTTACAAATCCAGCAGAGTAAGAAAAATAACTCATGCAGACTTAAATCGGTAGTTACATGTTATATTTGTTCTCAAATGAATCTTGGAAACTAGATGTATACCTTGATGTAAAACTTTAAATGAACAAAAATATAATAGTTTTAGTTCGCAATCACACTGTTGGTAACTGTATTGTATTGTCTACATGGGGAAAAGATTTGTGTTACATGTTTTAATCAACTTAGTATTTTGAAAGCACGAGTGGCAAAGCCATTAGGAACATTTTGTATAGTGGGCTATTTCCAATATGAATAAATTATTTGTAAATTATTTGTGTACCTAATAATTGTAATAAATGTTTATGTATCTAAACATTCTTTTCATTGCATCTACACTTCCTTAAGGCAAAAACGCACCTCCAAAAGTTAACTGTAAGTTGTCCAAACCAGGTATCCAATATGACACTCTCTACCTAAACAGAATCGAAATTTTAAGTCTAAAACAACAATGGGCAAAAATTAAAATACTTATGCTTAACTATTTCTTTAGAGAACAATACTTTTTGAGAACAAATTATTATTTTGTCGACACGAAATTTTTGTGAAATACCACATTGGTATCAAATCTACCTAATGTTTTTCAAAATAATCTTAAATAATATAACAAGGTTAAGTGTATACTTTTTATTTATAAACATAGATTTCTACCACATCCATCTGTTATACATACTATATAAAATAATATAATAATATTCAGTTAGTAGAAAACATTGTCATTGAATTTCACAAAATTGTTACACGTCATCAAAATGTGCAGTGAACATTTTATCAAGGAAAAAAGGTAATGCAGGTATTATGACCAACAAAACAATAAGAACCTGAGTACCTTTTTTGTAATAGTGCCAGATTATATTTATAAAAAATCTATAAATCGAATTCAATTAAATATCAAGAAAAAGCAGATATCTTGACTTTTTTTGCTATAAGAGCACCATTTTCTCTCTATAGCGAATACCTTTTATTTGTTGGACTGTAATATACCATACCAAACCCAAAAGTAAGGACCTATTTTCAGTACTTTGTGCAAATTTTGTCAAAAAAACAGATAATGATATTCGTTACGATAGCCCAAATATAACATTTCACTATGTAAATATTAATCAAACCTGACTTTATAATGTATAATGATTACTGCAAAACTGTAGTAAAAAATCTTGAGAATATTGTAAATCAATATCAATGAGAATTTGGTAAGAACTGCCTTCATAAGAAATAATATCTGGTAACCAATCATTTCTGATAAATATAAACTCAGTTGAATTTGTTTTATTTGTCTGATGTTTAAATCAGTTCAATGATATCAGATCTAATTTAGCTATTTCACATTTAAAATATAGAAAAACGTGATTTTTTCTTTTGTTATATATTACAAATAACATTTCTTATAATGGCAGAATTGCTATCTTAATAAATAAAATAAATGCAAGTTGAAATAATACTTTTGCTTAGCATTAATACCCTGCTCAAGGTTGCTTCATTTAGTACCTATAAGATCAGTTCCCTTGAACTATATTAAACTTAATTATCAAGACATTCATAATTAACTATTTGGCCGAGATAGATACTTCTAAAACTGTGTATATGTTGTATAAAATTGGTAGTGATTTTGTTGAATATTGTGTAATCTAGAGACATTTTGTCATGCACCATTAACAACAACAAAAAACTATGTTACTACAGGTTACACAGCTATATTATCATAGGAAGCATAAATGGATAAATGAATATCTTAACTTGTTATCCATGAATCAATCTGTAACTCACTCTCAAGTCCTGCTTTAATGAGTGATAAATTAGAATCTGTTTCCAAGGGTAACACTGATCCAATGTAACCACTTACTCTTCTTATGATGCCATGACTATGTAGAAATACTGATAACATAATGTATAGAGTTTGCAATACACAAATTTTAATCAAACATTTTAAAAATAGTAACAAGAGAAGGTGTTTTAGAAATATAATTTAACTTCGATAGTTTTAAGCATACAATGAATCAAAATGACAACCAAAAATAAAGTCCTAACTCTAACTTACTGCATCTAACACCACAACAAAAACTTAGTTAAAACTCTCCCACTTTGTATGAACTTCTGGCTTCAAGTCAACTATATGTACATGGACAGCTTGGCACTTCTCAAACTTTGGCGGTATTGGACACAACTGGTACTTTACTCTATCACCAGGTAGTGGGACATATTCATCTTCAATACTGAAAGTTTAATCTAACTTAGAACTAAGCTGTCTTTTTATCTGACGTAAAAATTTTTTTTAACCTAATTGATACCAGAACAGTTTGTGGGACCTGATCTTGAGTCACTATGAATGTAAGATGCAGCCCAAAATAATTTGGTGCATTTGATACCAGACAGGGTGGCCCATCCATGTGTGCACGGTCTATTACTCATAAACAAATGCATTTTCGGAAAATCTATTTATGGAATGTCATACATGACATTTGAGGGCATATTTTTAAAATAATGGATATTATACAGGGTGTCCCAATTTCGATCTACATATCAAAGTTGTGATTTTTCAAATGGAATGCCTCAAATTTTGTTGCATATTTGGATAAACCAATTCAAAATAAGAAAACTGATATAACATACTATGGGGTTTTGGTGATTAGCTACCGAGATATAAGGTATTTTGTCTAGAAAAACCCCCCACTTCAGCAACCCCTCGTCCGCCATTTTGAAATTTGGAGTGCTGAATTTTGTATCAAAAAAAACTTACACACCTTTTATCTTATTTGTTACTTTTTTAAATTTTAATTTTTGCTCATACAGGGTGGTCAAAAACGCAAATTGTAGTTTTTCTCAAAAATTTCAAATGCATTACCCTGTATATTTGTGCAAGTTTGGATCCAAATTTTTGTAAGATTTTTTTGATACTAGGCACATAAGGGTTTTTACGGCTATTTTTTCGGTTATTAGCAGGTCTTAGCTTAATTCCCTAAAATATCGCAACATCCTTGGAAACAAATAAATTGTTGTTCAGTTACAAACTCTCAAAATAAGCTTTGTGAGCATTATAATAAAAATGTGTTTGAAAATGAATTTTTCTAAAGAAGAAATGGTGGATATGGTGTTCGTTTTGGGCGACATCCAGGGCCGGACATTTTCCACACTACGAGAACGTTTTGAGTCAGTTGAGCAGTGGAATGTAGTAAAAAATGTATAAATAATCCAAGTGTCACTAATGAGACGAATCAGTTGGAGGTTCTATTAAAGTTGCAGCAAAATCCCCATTTAGGTGCACGGCAAATTGGAACAGAAACTGACAAAGGATTATTCACAAGCATAGGTACCATCCATATCACCTATGCTTGCATCAAAGCCTTCGTCCTCAGGATTTCACAGCTCGAATGGAGTTTAGTAGAATAATGCTAAATAAAGTGGCTGAAGACACTACTTTCCTGGATAAGGTTCTTTTTAGCGATAAGGCAACTTTTAACAGCATAGGTGTTGTCAACAGGCATAACATGCACTATTATGCGACGCAAAACCCTTACTGGGTTAGGCAAATAGATTTCCAAAATAATTGGAGCTTAAATGTTTGGGGAGGAGTGACAAGTTATCGGGCCTTTCTTTTTCGACAACAGATTAACAGGTACAGAATAGTTGAATTTTTTGATCGAGCAAGGATGTCAACCTGCAAACTCGGATGCATATTTATGTACTTCCAACATGACGGCGCACCTGCGCATTATCATAATCGTGTGCGTAACTATTTGGACACCTTGAGTAACAATCGTTGGATCGGTCGTAATGGGCCTATATCTTGGTCTCCTAGACCACCAGATATGACACTGATGGGCTTCTTTCTATGGGGCTACGTTAAGCAAGAGGTTTATAGATATCCACCATCTACCCCGGAAAATATGAAGGAAAGAATTAAGGATGCTTTTCTGAACATAAGGGAACACATGCTGAGGGATGTGCAACGGTCATTTATCCAAAGACTACCGCTGTGTATTCAACATGGAGGAGATATTTTCGAGCAGTTTTTGTAGATTAGGTATTGAGTAGTGATAGTTGTTTGTTTATGTTGTTGTTATAGCTGTTTTTCTCTATTACACTTGAAGCTGATTTATACTGTTCTGATTGTTATTAGTTTTTAAGTCAAATCTGTTCTCTTAGTGGCAATATGGGACTAGCCCACTGTTTGTCTTTTGTTTCCATGGATGACGTGATTATTTTTCCTTAATTTTGGTGTGTTGTTCTATTAAAAGCTCAAGAACTCAAAATCTAGTGATTTTATCTGAATCAAACCTTATACCAAAAAAAAGCCTATAAAAAAAATTGAATCCAAAAAGTACAATTCGCGTTTTTGACTACCCTGTATGAGCAAAAATGAAAATTCGAAAAAATGACAAATAAGATAAAAGCTGAGGTGTGTAAGTTTTTTTTATACAAAATTCAGCACTCCATATTTCAAAATGGAGGATTGAGGGGTTGCCGAAGTGGACGATTTTTCTGGACAAAACACCTTACATCTCAGTAGCTAATTACCAAAACCACATAGAATGTTATATCAATCTTCTTCTTTTGAATTGGTTTATCCAAATATGCAATAAAATTTGAGGCATTCCATTATCAAATATTTCAAAAAATCACAACTTTGATATGTAGGTCAAAATTGGGACACCCTGTCTAATTGCCAATATTTTAGAAATGTGCCCTCAAATGTCATGAATGACATGCCATAAATAGATTTTCCCAAAATGTATTTGTTTATGAGTAATATTCCGTCCACACATGGATGGGCCACCCTGTATACCAGACTATATGTGTGTAGCTGTTACAACTGTTACACAATTGGTAATAACTGTGATCCATCACTATTCAGAAAATTTATTGAATGTGGATTTATTGATATATGAAGTTATCCCAGCAGTGACAGATCCATCAGTAAATACCCATTACAATTTGCATTCCATAAGATTTTTTTGGGCTACTTCCAACCTACTGAATAAATTAACCAAGAATTATTGCAGGACTAAAAGATTCTGCTTGGGTACTTGAATTATAATGAATGAAAATAAGAAAGAATGAGATACAGAAGGAAGAAATGAGAATATTGAGGAAGAGTGCAATTACAGAAGGAAATAACACTCTTAAAGAGAGTTAGCTAAATCTACTGTACTTTATGTTATTTCTTAGCAGAAATGATAGAGCTCGAATATATGTCTAATTTTTAATCTTGCTTACAATGGGAGCTTTCAGCGAATGTAAAGAAGTCCAGTGGTGCAGAGCTTCTATGCTAAATACAACAGTTTTCACTAGGATGCCAGATTTGATAGTGTGTTGATTAATGTTGGGAACTGTCCAGGATCTTGATGTCTAATCATATTAGATGAAAATACCCCTGGTTTGCGAAATAATTGTAAAGTCGGGCTTTATTGATGCAAGTTATTCAAGGGGATATTTAAAACATGGACACATAGTGCAGGAACGAAAAAAATCTTGAGGTTTTTTTGAGACCTACAGAATGAGACCACACGTAAAAATATCCCACTAATAGTAAAAAAGTTATTGCCGAAAACCGAGGCAAAATGCAAAAACACTCCACTCCTGGAAAGCTTTATTGTATGTAGTATTATATTAAACGAAAATACCGCTGGTTTGCAAAATAATTGCAAAGTCTGGTCTTATTGATGCAAGTTGTTCAAGGGGGTATTTAAAACATGGACACATAAAATGGGTACACCAATTTTTGTGGGAAAACTTTTTATTCAACAACAAAGAATGACAAAACTGTTTTTTTTTTTTTTGGGATTCAATCAAAAGCATTCCCAGGAACAAAAACACTCTTGGAACAAGATTTTAAGGTATTTATTAGACCTACAGAATGAGACCACACTATTAGTAAGTTATGGCCGAAAACCGAGGCAAAATGCAGATTTTGGCACTTGTTGCTAATGCGACAATAATTTCACGCAGCTACTTGAAATGCTTCAAATCCGAAAGCTTCTTACTTCTAAATAACGACAACAAAATTGGAGTCAATTGATCAAGTAGTTTTTGAGAATTTCTAATTGTTTATCCCAAAACACCCGTCTTCCGGCCATCTCTACTAGTTAACTAAGCAATATTCAGGGTTCGTTTAAAGAGCATTTTATAGCAAAACACACGAGTTTACCTTTCCGACATGAAACACAAGCCATTCCGAAAGATAATTGTTATTTCTATGCGAAAAACGAACGGTTACGTTTTTTTCTTCTAAACAAATTCAAACTTTTCGTATTTGTGAGTAATTGAACAGATTTGCTACGATATTCGAAAAACATACGTTATTACACATATTTTAAAACAAAGCGGATGTGTCCTTTTGTTGCGAAGGAAAAAAATGTTTTTCAAGATTTGTTCATAGTCTTAAGTATACATATTTAGAGCTGACATTTTTACACAGTCACAGATGAGCGTTAAAGTTTATAAAAAAGAATATTACTATACTGAAATGCGCTGAACTGTTTATAAAGATATCACGCAAACTGAGGACATTATGCTTCAAACTGACAGACTAGTTAGTATGTAGCATGTGCTGCATGACTTTGTCAAATAAGTAGGTGATGTAATTCAGTTTCTTCACAAAGAAATGTAATTCCCTGGACCTTTTTTCTAAAAGAATTAATATAGTATACATCTGTTTTCGAGATCTCGAATAATTAAAACGACTGCGGGTTCAAAATGTTGGAGAATAAACTTGAGAAAACTAAAAGTCAGTAGACAAATAATATCAACTAATTGTAGCGAACTGACCATCTGAAAAATTAAGCAAAATGGTCGGTATTAGTCCCTAATACAGTATTTAAAGTTTCAGCATTGTATCTTGTATATTTTTGAAATTCTAATTGTTTATAACAGATTTGATAGGCCTCCAACGTTCGCTTAACATTTGTCAGTGTCAAGTATAGTGGTATAAAGATCCAGAAAACCAAGAGGCGTCATAGCGAAATGGGGAGGATTCACAATTGCAGAACCGCAGGATGGAGGTTCGAATCGGTTCAAAACAGTTTTTCGCACGCCATATGCAATGTAAACTTGCAAACAGGAATCCAGTGGTATACGTATGTTTGTTTATAATTTTTTTATATTATTTTGGTAAGATTTCAGAAACATTATGTCGGATCATAGCAGATAATTTTCTAAAACATATCTTAGATATGTGAATTATTAACCAACAATAATGAAAGACATCCGAAATTTTGTTTGTGATAATACGCTCAGTTTTGGAACCCCTGTCAAATTAGGTACCTCTTGGAGCGATACAGGATACTTATAAAATCAGTTGAGCTAACCAGTTTTTGCATTTATCAAGTTACTGTTGAGCACAGATGCTCATTTCATCAACAGCATAGACATTTTTTGCAAAGTTTGTATTTTTGTCTTATGGCAGCATAACGCAAAGCTAATCAGCCTTTTCGGGAGTGATGGGAAAGAGGATGCCCTAACACGTGAAAGTTAAAAATACAAAAAATCGAGAATTAAGCAATTTCAAGTACATCTTAAAATGTGACATAATTATTTTATTGCATCCATAATTTGCATTGTTTTGCATAGAATGAAACTATATGAAAGATTCTGTATCTGTACATTGTGTTTAACCACTAACTTGAGATAACTAAGTGCATAGTGCATTAAAGAAGCTTTCAATAGCGAAAGGTAAATAGAGAAATTTTACCGATAAGTCTCTCTCAGATGATATACGTAGTCATGCCATAAGTTCTGTCCCTCGTTTTCAAACAAGTGTAGACCTGTTAATACTTGTCCGATTGTTTACATTGTGGTGTCAGTTGATTAAGCGCTTTTCGGGTAATTACATATACCTCAGTTTGTATTGATCTCTCGAAGCATAACGATGGAGTGGGGCAAGGCAGAGAACCGTATTGCAGTGATAGCTTTACATAAGTGTAATCACAGTGCTAGTCAGATTTTTGAACTCTTACGCGGCCTTCAAATATCGCGTAAATTTGTGTCTAGGACCATTCAGCGGTACAATGAGACGTCCTCTGTTGATGACAGGCCAAGAAGCGGAAGACCTCGTCAAGTAAGGACTCCAGCAGCCATCAAAGCCGTAAAAGCCAGGATTCAAAGGAATCCACTCCGGAAGCAGAGGATCCTATCCAGGGAAATGAAGATTCCTGTCCGGACGATGTCGCGCATCATTAAACAAGACCTAGGGCTAGGGGCTTACCGGAGACGTACGGGCCAGCGACTTACGGCCACCTTGCGACACATCAGGGCGACAAGATCCAAGAAGCTCTTGGAGAGGTACGCAGCTGGGGGATTCCGAAAGATTTTGTTCACGGATGAGAAAATCTTCACCATAGAAGAAAAATTCAACCGACAAAATGACAAAGTGTATGCAAGGAGTTCACAGGAAGCTTCGGAGATCATTCCGAGAGTTGAGAGAGGCCACCACCCTGCGTCAGTCATGGTTTGGTGGGGGGTGTCCTACGAAGGGGTCACTCAGCTCCATTTCTGTAAACAGGGCGTGAAAACAAAAGCGGCAAACTATCAGAGCGACATACTGGATCCTATCGTCAAGCCTTCAAGTGGTACATTGTTTGCCAACCAACACTGGGTCTACCAGCAGGATTCCGCCCCCGCTCACAAGGCTAAGAGTACGCAGCGCTGGCTGGAAAGCAATGTGCCAGAGTTCATTGCTGCGGAAGATTGGCCCTCAGGGAGTCCGGACCTCAATCCTTTAGACTACAAGTTGTGGGACCTGCTAGAGCAGTTGGCCTGCTCCAAAGCCCACCGTAATATCGAGTCCCTGAAAACGGATTTGATCCGATCAGCGGCAGCTATTCCTTTGGAAGCTGTGCGTGCAGTGATAGATGAGTGGCCCGCGAGATTGAAGCAGTGTGTGAAGGCCAAGGGGGGACATTTTGAATAAAACTGTTTGATTATGAATTCTAAAAATGTTGTCGAATAAATAATATCTTTCATATAAATATATCTTATCTTGTTTCATTTTTATCATGAGATTATCATGGGACAGAACTCATGGCACGACTACGTATAATAAAAGTACACGTTATGTGAAAAAGCATTTATTTCTCCAAATTTAAAAAAAAATAATAGAAAAAGGAGCTGTGTGGATTCGAACCTCGGTCGTCTGTATTTTGCCTCGGTTTTTGGCCATAACCTTTTTACTATTAGTGGGATCACTTGACGTGTGGTCTCATTCTCTAGGTCTCAAAATACCTAAAAATCTTATTTAAGAGTTTTTTTGTTCCTGCCAACCACATCCCAAAGAACATGTTTTCTCATTCTATGTTGTTGAATAAAAAATTTTCCCACAAAAATTGCTGTACCCATTTTATTTTTTTTTTTATACTCCAACTACCACGAAGGCCTAAGGCCTAAGCACCCATTGGGTACTGTGGGGCTATAGGGCGATACATGGGAAAGGGAGGGATGCCACACGGACTCTGGCGAGGGAACACGTGTGAATGCAACATGCACACATTCTGGCTCCGCCTACGAGAACCGCCGGGTGGTACCTCCGCGTTCGACAGTCAGAGATCATCTACCACCTACGTTTTACAATGTTTCAAATACCCCCTTGATCAACTTGCATTAATAAAACCAGACGTTACGTATATCGGGGAAATTGTGAGCTGTGGTTTTTAAGCTTTTAAGCTTGCTTAACTGTGTAGTCTCTGCTGATCACACAATGGAGTGTTGCTGTCCAAAAAGTCTGAAAAGGCTGCATTTTTGTATGATTTCCACCTTCTGGTCACTGTCAGAATTAGCATTTATATTTAAAAGAAATACGTACAAATAAATGATAGGAAAAACTTACTCGGATATATGGACAAAGAGATCATCACTACCGTCTTCAGGGGTGATAAAGCCATGGCCTTTTTCTCTGCAAAATGATTTTATAGTACCATACAAATTCTTAGTCTTCAGTATCCTCTCACACCTGAAAAAAATTCAGGAAAAAGTTACATATTTCCAATTTAAGCAACAAAATAGTTTCACTTACATGGAGGGAGTTCTGTTTCGTTTTGTGATAAGAGGACTAGGAATTAAGTAGGCTGATGGTGAAGCTGGTTTATCATTTCCCGAGTCACCCTTAGACATTTTTATAAGATTCTACGAAGAATTTTGTACGAGAAATGGGAGAAAAAAATTTCAAAAATGAAGAAAGTTGAGTTTGGTAATCAGGGAAAGCAAAAAATCGCAGGCCGGCCTCGATGACAGAATTTTGACAGAAGCTTTAAGCATAGAAGCATAGAACACAGAAATCGAGAACTTCTTTGTGACATTGCCAAGTCAAGGTATTGTCCAGTGTCCTCTTGTATCTTGACATGAAAATAGTCTAGGCCGCAATAAATGTTTTTTGCTGTATCTACATTAGTTTTGTTTTGTGTTTGTTTCCCTCCAGATTCTTTTTTGGATTCTACATATGACCAAGACGAGCTTAAGGCGTTTCTAAACCGACAATTTTTTTCCACCCAGACATACTTTTTGACATTTCCGAATTTCTGACTTATCGATAGCCGCTTTCCAGTGCTTTTGAATTGAGACATGTGAGTAGTATGCACCCGGATGTGCCGGAGTGTGACGCTCCCGCACGGGTATCACGTATTTTGAGTGACATTATGCCGATTTTTTTTGACTTTAGGCTGTTCTTTGACATTATGTAGGTTTTTCTATAAGATATTAACTTAGCACTTAGTTGTACGTGTTGCCTAAACGTCACGAGGCTTGATATCAATCTTCGGCTCTGATGTGATGTAAAATCTGCTGACAGATGGCATTACTGGTGGTCTAAGCGTTATGTAAGTTGTATGTGTTGATGATAATTACATTGGGTTCTTCTCAAATACACTTTATTGATATTCAAAGCTAGAAATTAGTTTCGTATCCACTTTTTCTTATCCATTCTGGAAATTACATATACAAATTTGCTGAATTTCAAAAATGAGAGAGACAAGAAGTAATTATATTCACTGTACACTGACGAATGACAAGCCATATACATGCTAACAGTAATTACATACAACGCGGGCGCGGTGATGATTTCTCGTAATTCTCCTCAGTTTTTCGTAATTGATAACATTGAACATAATCTCTCTTCAGAAGGCACAACATAAAAATAACCCGTCGGGCACAGCCAATAGATATGCTTGATTGGCAGCATATTCAGTAATGATTTTCTGACACAGCAAATATCACTGATTTTATACACATGCAGACCAATAGACATAATCATCCAGATGCTATTCAACCAACTTTCTTCTCAGAGATAAAAACTACAGATAAGCATCATTTGGCCACATAACATATGCAACCAATAATGCGTGTAGTTTAGTTGAGTGATACCTCCTTAGATGGACGTTCACAACGATCCTAGGGAGCAAACGTGGAATGACTGTTGGCGCCCTAAAAACTACCTGGTTTGCAAGATGACATTTTATAGGTTTTTTTTGACGTTTTATAGGTTTTTTACATGATACCCATGTCGAACTGCTCTAGCAAATGTACACGGCAACGCGACGATAAAATCCTAACCTGTTTTTTGACGTTGACAGTTTGTGTCACACTGCAAAACAATAAAAATGTAAACACATTTTGAATTTATTTTCAGAAGCATTGTCATACTATCCAATTGATGCTTTTAGAATGATGGCGCAACACGTCAGAGGGCTGCATTTTTGTTCTAAAGCTTCTGGATAAGAAATAGTCCACGGTGTAGCACAGTGCACTACCGGGAACCGATACTCAAATTTTCGCGAAGAACGGGAATAGGTGAAGACGGAGACGTGGTACGAGTAACCGCATAACGTCAGTGAGGTACTAGCGGGTGGTCTTATGTCAATGTCATTAAAAACAGACATCTCAATTGTAAATTTCTTTTCGCTGTGCCGACAATTGAGTTAAATTATTAAATCATAAATGGAGGAACACGTCCACCTAATTTTAAATGACGAGGAAGAAGGTCATCGAAGATTTAGGAACCGCACTTGTCATATCAAATGGTGATTTTATTGATATCATTGCGCAAAAAAACGATCGGCCTTTTTATTTCATATTCAAAGAAGGCAGCTAAGCTTATCAAGAAGCTTAAAGCAAACATTTTGCGCAACATGCGCCATCTAACCACTCCCGGTGTAACTTGAAACTGTCAAAACTTGGGAGAAAGGGGAAATTCCATCTGTTCTCGCTCTGTTGCAGTGGAACTGAATTGACAGGAGGTAGGTAGCTCAGAGTTACTCCGAGCGAAACAAATGAGGCACTGAAAAGCGACTTATGTAGTTCTGTCAGTTTGCAAAAATTATTAGAATAGAAATAATCCTACATTGAATGACGTTTCAGAATTGTCAACATTTTAGGTTACATTCTTGTTTATATTAATTGGATGGATTAAAAAATGTTTATGTTGGAATTGAAACTCGGCTTTTTTGTCCGTACTAACAAATGTTCATAATACCATATACTAGAGTGTTTGTCATGTAGAAATGTAAGAATTGCCTAAATATGTTGAAAATCCGAGCCTTAAATCGTGAATCCTCCTCTGATGAAGACACTCCTGTAATCAGACGTGAAGCTCAGGTATTTACACTACTCGCGATAATTACACAGCCTTTTAGCACAACTTTTTGTTTTTTGTTTATTTTGCAGGAAGAAATCGCTTTAGAACTTTACAACAAAGCCTTACGTCTGCAAAACAATGGAGACTATGAGGAATCTGAATCCATATTGCTGCAACTGATAGAAGAGAACATACCTCAGCTTGAAAACAATGGAGGCCTTCCAAAGTCTATGTCAACACTGAGATACTCATGCCATGTTAATATAGGGAACATTTATCTGAAGCAGGATAAAGTCAGTGATGCCTTAGAAAAATTTCTTCTGGTATGCCCATTTGAAAGACTTTTTGTGCTAAGTAGAGATTTTTATTACCAATTAAAATATGCTGAAACAGCCTAGATTTCTTTCCTTGCTTTTATTCAGAATACAGTTCATATTTATTATTATGCCTGGCAAAATGAGTTTTTGAACCCACACACTCTCCAGAATAAGTTCAATTACACTTTTGAGCAAATCTCTCATAACAGAATTCACTGTGATCCACAGATTATTAGCACTGTGTCTGATCTGTCAGTATTTACCATAAACTGTGATATTTATTAACTATGTAGCCCTAATGTCTACTTATTGATGTATAAGGTTACATAGAAATATGCTGGTACTGGTGGAATCATCACTGATGCTATATAGAGAAGAATATTTGTTTCAGGTGATACAATGAAATGTCTTTTTCAATTTAGCAATAATTCCTTTTTTAGCTTAATTCTGTAAAGTGTATATAATTGATTCTAGTTTCCACATCTATTGTTTGAGATTTTTTAACATTGTCCTTTTATAAAATATAAAGAGATGCAGTATAATATTTATATATATAGAATAACCATTATAGGCTTCTGAATTGGATGGGACTGATGTAACACTGTGGTATAGAATAGGAAAACTGGCATTGAAGCAAGACAAGTTTCATCAATCAGCATATGCTTTCTCAAAGGTAAAAATATACGAGGCACGTCCAGAAAGTAAGTGTACTCAATTTATGTAGGGTTCAAAAAAAATTTATTAAAACCATAATATACTTGGTTACACTTGTACATATGTAAGTTATTTTTCGACATAGTCACCATCCCTCTCGATGCAAGTGGTGAGCCGCGGGATCAATTTTTTGATGCCGGCCTCGAAGAAGTCTCCCGCCAGCTCTTTCGCCCACTTCTCCACCTCCCCCTTCACCTCCTCGTCCGTTGAAAACTTGTTTCCACCCATGTGCCCCTTTAGGGAAGTGAAGAGATGGAAATCTGAAGGAGCCAGGTCAGGGGAATACGGGGGGTGATTCAGAACGTCCCATCCAAAAGAGTCCAGGAGTTGCTTCGTGGCGTTGGCCGTGTGGGGTATGGCATTGTCGTGCAACAGGCAGACTCCCTTCGTCAGCATGCCCCTCCTTTTATTCTGAATCGCCCTTTTCAATTTTTTTAGCGTCTCACCGGAGCTTTTCCCTTCACAACGAGGTAGCGAATGACGGCGCGAATTTCGCACTTGGCGGGAGATACGATCGACATTTTTCGCGAGAGATGTTACTGCGTCAAGAGTTTTCAACACACTAACCTCAGATTGGTCTCTTTTTGAAGGGGAGGGGTCAGGCTACGCGGCAGTGTTGCCAACATGTCGAAAAAGTATTCTCTACAGCTGTGAGAATACCAGTACACTTACTTTCTGGACGTGCCTCGTATCCAAATATGTTATTTATTGGCTAGTGGCTGAATATTCCAAAATCTCTCTTTATTACTGAAGATATGGTGGTGTTTTATAGTGTAAATATTTTGAAACATATACTTGTAATATAAGCCCATTTTCATTGAGCTAAAGTCACCCTCAGGAAAGCAAGGTACTGCAGCAATAGTTTGATCATTCTATTCTCATTTGCTTCTTTGCAAAAAAAATATGTTCTGTCACCAATTATTTCATTTTTGCAATTTTATTTATGCCAATGTACCAATTAAATAATTTATTCTAACTTTCACAGAGCTACTTATCTGTGTTTTGTAGAATGAAATCTCTATTGGACGGACACCAATGGACCAAGTGGGGTGTCCATATAAAAGAAATTCAACAAAAATCATGTGTTGAATAAAAACTTAATATATTAGAAACTGGGTCATTTAAAACAGATATGTATATAAATGTTGTTAAAATAAAAAAAAAAACTTCAAACTTTGAAAAAAAACGTTTGTTACCTTTAGATATATTCAAAGTATGTACCATATTCTATGAGCACAATCCATACTTCACTTACATATATGGAATCTCAATTAAATCCATATACATCACTCATTTGTTAATTAGAATAAAAAGGATTTTATTGTGTTACGTCATCGTTAGTATATAAGTATTTTCTGTTTTCCTTTACCCGTGCACAAGGGCCACCCTTCTGCGGGCTCTTCATTTATTTGTCCTCTATAAAATTCTGTGTAATGGTTGTGTATTTTGGTGACAAATAAATATTACTATTACTATGTACATACATATGTATAATATACATATATAAAGTAACAGAACAATGAAATAAAAAGTCACTTTATGGACGCAAAAATTCATATATTGTCATTTGTCTCCTCGTTTTCATTAAAATGGCATCTTGAAATCGTATTTCTAATTTAGAAAGAAGCTCCAAAGACTCTGTACCTCCTTGATTTTCAACAAAACTTTTGAGCTGCTTGATCAGGCTAATAGTTTTACCATAATTTGGAATAGCTTCTGTTGGTACTGGAACCTCATCAACATCACAATCTTCAGGAAAGTTCTTGTATTTGATTTTCATGGATTTTCAGTTTTTGGCCTGAATCTGGATCTTCAGCATACAAACTTTCATCTAGGTTCAAAAAATCGTAAAGGTTTTCATTATCAGTCAATTTCAATAAATTCTTATTTCTGAGGATACCTGAAAGTATAGTTTAAGTGGTGAGTTATTTTCTTGGTCAGTTGTATCAGCCTCATTTTACTGGTCTTCACTTGGCGTATTTTCATGCTTAATCCCTGCTTTGCAGAAGCAATTTTGCACTGTTTCTTTGGTTACTTGGTCTCAAGCAGTTTTTGCCAAATAAACTGTGTCCAGTTACGTAATTTTCTTAATTAACTCAAAAACTGTACCAGCAGTTTCAATAATTACTAGCAGGTGTTTGGGTATTATACTCCGGTAATAAGTTTTAAAACTCTCTATAATAACAAGCTGAATGTTTCTTTTTAGGACTTGCAACCACTGTCATAATTTCGAGCCATTGCTACAATGATTGCGTCGCGATTTTTGCCAAGTAAACTACATCCAATGACGTAAATTTCTTTATTAGCTCAAAAGCTGTACCAGCTGTTTCCATGTTTACTAACAGTTGTTTGAATTTTAGACTTCGGTAATAAGTTATAAAACTCTTCATAATCCCTTGGTCAAGTGGTTGACAAGCTGATGTACAATATTAGGGAAGAAATATAAGATTTTTATATTATTTAAGCGAATGTCTTTTGTATGAGATCACACATTGTCTAAAAATATCAAAATGATTTTTTCTTTATTTCTTGCAACCACTCTGTCATAATTTGTCTTATCATCCAAGCCTTCTTATAGCATTAAAGATGTATCTCGGTGAATGTATCTTAATCAAAGAAATAAATTTTTCCAAAAACGATGAATCATCTTCAAATTAACCGAAGCTTCTTTCTCCCGAAATCGCTTTAAAACTTATATTGTGGCAAATTATAAATTCATTGAGCCAACCAGAAGAAGCACTGAATGTATAATGTCCCAGAGATTCGGTTATTATTTTGCTTTGCATCGTATTGGCGGACCTTAAAAAAATAAGTCTTTTGCGTTTCTTTCACGACAAACCTATTGATAATGTCACTCTTTTTATCTAATTTAGAATTAATATGTAAAGAAAACCAACACATTAATACAAAAAACCTTATCTAAAAAAATTATATGCATGCATACTGCTATAAACCAGTCATAACACATTTGTCAATTTTGGTACCATCACCCGTCAGAGAGCTGTTCGACATCCATTTCTTTATGTTTTATGTTTAATTATATCTGCAGCTTGTGTTTTTCCAATATTAAAACGCTTCTCCTTATTGTGAACCTCAACAATCTCATTTTTTTGTTTAAGCGTCAGTATTTTCCATTTGAAGCCACTTTTATAATGAATGTGTCTTTTCCGCATAGACAAATACTGAATGGACATTTAATCGCAAACGTGTAACCAGAGAAGGACGGAATATCCCCGACCAGTTCGGGGAAGTCCCTAATTCACGCCGGGCAGAAATGCACCACTTAGGCTGCATTTGCACCGAAAGATTAAAGTCAGTGAATCCCCGGTTTACTAGAGAAAATCGCAGATGGCGCGCGGCACGATTGAGAAATGCAATAGCGATACTCTCAACAGAAAAAAAATAAGATAAGGCGTTTCTTTTTGTTTTGTTGTTTTTTTCGGTTGGAAGAATATTTTTTCTTGTCCGCATCCATTCAAGAGGGTGTCCGTCCAAGAGAGCGTTTCAATGCAAATTATATAAGTCGTCCGAGACCATGAGAAACTGTCCGTTTAAAGGAGGTGTCCGCGAAGGGAAATTTCACTGTATTGATACGTTATTACTACTTTTATTTTGTTGTGTTTTTAGGGTTTACAATGTAGTGAATCCCACTGGCCTTGCCTAGACCAGCTGATAACAGTATTATTTGCCATTAAAGATACCATTACCTGCTTAGAATATATTGGAAAAGCTTTAACATTAGATCCAGAGTATATCAAAGGTTTAACTTTAAGAAAACAGATATATCATGATAATCCTGCTACAAAAGAGTATTATCAACTGTATAATCCAGAATAGTAAGTGATATTTGATATTGATTTTATATAATAATAAATGTGCTTATTGTCCTATACATGTAACACAAAATAGAATTGATATAAGGGTGAAATTCAGCTTTATATCTCCTCTTTCACTTGAATTGCTTTCACTTTTGTAAATAACAGCAAAAATAATTATTGAAAAAAATGTTTATGTAATATTGTTAATGCGGTTTCCAAAAATAAAGGAAATTATGAGAGCAACCTATTTTTGCAGTATCTGGGAACCCCCTTTGGATGTACCAATTGATCAGGAAGAGGAAAAAACCTACTTGAAAGAAGCACAAGCGTTGACAGACCGTGTAAATGAGTTAGAAAAAACCTTAGGACTGAAACCTCTGCAAACTGTACCTTTACCAAAGCCTTTAGAAGAGTATACATGGATGAACCTATTAGAGACAATCACTTATATACATCAGTATATCACAGACAATGAAATGGTAATATCATTATTATTAATATGAAAACAATTGCGATTATTGTCGCCATTTTTCTTTTATTTTATATATGTCACAAAGTTTCTAACATTGTTTTATTGTAGCTTTCAGATCATCATTCATACAGGGTGTTCTCATAGTTGTTACTTTCGTTTACAGAGCATACAGATCAGGCAATAACAAGCAAGTTTTCCTATAATACATACACCTAAGCCGCGATAACCGCGATATTAAGTTCCGAAAAAATCTAAATATGCCATATCCGACCCAGTCTCACTCACCTCCTTAAAGGGTACGATGTTTTTGGTACTATTACTAAGTGGATCAGTATCCAAATCGGACGCCGCGTGGTATGCAAATGAAATTAATTATAAACAAACCGCATTTGAAAACTGAAATTGACACATTCCTACAGCAATAACGTACTTATCGATTTACTGTCAGCATATTTAAGAACCTATTGATACACCGCGAGTGGATTGGAGTATGCAGAACGTCGCCGACGTCCCTGATATTACCATCAGAGCTGCATATATTTGCCGTCTGGGTGGACACAGTAGAAATCCTAGACAGCTCCAAATGTTGCAAATTCATTAAGAAGCAGGTAAACAACAAAGTCGTGTTTTTGAATCGAACAGCCACAACTTGAATCAGCAATTACAAACAAAATATATGACAGAGCAGTACTTGAAATACCGTGCGAAATAAATACTGATTATTTTTCTTCATTTTTTACTTACGTTTTCGGTGCTATTTTACCGCAGCTTTATTATTTCAAACGCAGTTATTTCTGAAAAGGAAAGTCCCAACTTTCAGGACAGCATGTATAGTTTCTGATGTCTGTTATTGTCGATCATTTGAACCTAACCCAGAGATCAACTGAACTTGAATGAAGTATGGTTGTATTGATTTTTATTATTTATTTTAGAGTCACTTTACAATGTTTGATATGAGCAGAAGCATGAGTCAAGCACCTGAATGTGAAAAAATGGAAATAGACGATGAAATTAAAGATGATAAAAGTGCACCAGAAGAACAGAAACGTACACCTGATCAAACTGAGGCACCTACTGAGCACGCTGAAGAAAAAGATGTTGAGACTGCTCCTCCTGAGAGGAGGGTTTCAGTTACTAGTGAAACTAATAATGATGGTCAAGAAAATACTCCCAATCAGACAGACAATGATGAAGTGAGTGGCTATTTTCAAAAACAAAATACCACAAATCTTCTGAAACCTTCGGAAATAATAATAATAATAATAAATCTTTATTTCAAAATAACAGTGCATGATTACTGTGTATTACACACTGTTAGGTGAAATATACGTCACAGCGTCATCGAAACAGAAAAAACAAAGAGGCAAACATATAACATAATAGAGATTTTACATTTCAAAATATTCTTGAAGGTCATATGGTTCTAAGTGCATTAACAATTGATAAATACTCTTTTTATATTATTTTATATCCGCCAACCTTTAAATTTCTTGTGGTAACTTATTATATATTTTAGTGCAGCTGTAATGGACATTTTTTTCGGTAACCGTGATATGATGGAATGGATACAGAAGATTTATATTTCTTGTGTTATGGTCACTTCGTGGATTACCGTTAAAATAGTCAATATTTTTAAATGTAAAAATTAGAATCTGTTGAATATATATTGCGGCTATAGTTGAAATTTTATTACTCTTAAATTTTCCTCTGCAAGTCTGTCTAGAGGAAATTTTTAAGATGCACCTCAGCACTCGCTTCTGCATTAGAAAGATACTATTGGTATGGCTACTATGTCCGAAAAAAAATTATTCCAAAACGTACAATGGACTCAAAATTCGCGTAATATACCATTTTTAGCGTCTTGAGGTCTAGGTACTTACTCAGTACTCTAATGCTATAGCATAAGACGCTACCTTGTGGAATACCTCTTTCTGCCGTTAACTGTGATGAAACGGCCTGATAATTTTATTCTTTGTGATGAAAACTCTTTGCTTACGATCTGTCAGATAAGACTGCAGCAGTTACCCTTATCCTGTATGCCTCGAATTTATTCAATAGAAAATAATGATCCACACAATGATAAGCTTGGAAGAGATAAAAAAATAGACCCACTGATATCATATTATTTTCAAGGCATTCTGTGATGCTGTGGCTGAAAGAATAGATCGCCGTGTTGATGGATTTCCCTTTTACAAACCCATGTTGTGACTCTGCAATTAAGTTATTACAAATCATATGATGCATAGTTCTTGAATACATCACTAACTCAAAAAGCTTTGCAAAACAAGAAAGTAAGCTTATTGGCCTATAATTTAGCAAGTCATTAGGATCTTCTTTTTATACAGGGTGTCCGCAAAGTTGGGGTTTTCCTTTACACGACGTGTAGATCTTGAAAACATAAGCAATTTTTCTTAGTACCATATACATCAATGTCTTAAGGGAACCGAGATAAAGGGCTCTGCAACATCAAAAATATCTGTATACCGTCCTGTAGCCGCGACCCGCCGCGATATCCCCGACTGTTACAAGGTCTCAACCCGACGGCAGAACTGGGTCGGGGTCAGTGTGTCAGGTTAGTATGCAACCTTCAACCGAAGGTTACGGTCACGCGTGTAGAGGTAAACGAACTCGTATAATCGATTGCGTTTCAAAAAACAACAAGCACTAGAGACGTGGCTAGAGAAGTGCAAGTATCAAAAACTAAAGTGTGGCAAACGCTGCGTGAAGAGGGGCTGTATCCATTTCACGTCCAACGTGTACAAGCCCTTCAACCTGACGATTTTCCAGCAAGAGTGCAGTTTTGTGAGTGGTTGTTGCATCAACATGACAATAATCCGGACTTTTTGAAGTGCATATTGGTGACAGACGAATCTACGTTCACGCGTAATGGGGTGAATAACTTTCGCAACTCATGTTTGGTCATTTTCAAAAAACATTTTCGGTGAACGTTTGGGCTGGCATGGTGAACGGTATGCTCACTGGACCATTTATTCCCCCAAATCGATTGGACGGGATGCAATACCTAGACTTTTCACGCAACATTTTGCCTTCCTTGTTAGAAGATGTGCCATTAAGTGTAAGACAATCAATGTGGTTTCTGCGTCTGCTCGGTAGCGCTTCAGCTGATTTCATTTTCTGTTGGAGCGGTATGATTTTTTTCACTTGGTCGCCCTCGTTTCACTACACATTACCTTTATTATTTCAAGGGTAGTTGTTTCTGAAAAGGAAAACCCCAACTTTGCGGACACTCTGTATATAGGTAGAATTATAGCTAATTTAAGTTTTTCGGGGTAAAAACCGTACTTGAGTGAGTTGTTTATTATGTGAACCAAAGGTTCCAGAATCAGTTCTAAGCAACATTTTAAAATACTAGCTGGAATGCCATCATCACCACTACTCACTTTATTTTTAAATATTTTGCCCAGTTCTGCTAGTTCTAGAGCACTAACATATTCTAGCGGCATACACTCTTGCACATGGTCTAAAAAGTCAGAAGAGTTATGTATTGGTGCCTGTGGTAATATTTCAATTACTTCATTAATACAGTATTCATTGAAAGCATTTGCTATAACTTCAGGATCACCTGGTATAACACAGTCATCTCTATTTTGACCTTTTATTTCCTTTACTATACACCACACACATTTTGATTTATTATCTGACTCTTGTATACGTCTTTGATATTACTTATATTGGGCACTAAATAACAATAGATTGTACTCTCTTCTGACTGTGTTATAGCATGGTTTATAGGAATTGGCGCTGTTGCTTATAACATATAGAACATCCAGTCTGTCCCTACATTCCTTAATATTATTATCCGTTTCCTGAGAATGATGTGGGTTAGGGAGCCTTTTTGTCATTTTTACTGTTTTCATGGGAAGCGATTGGTCAAAAATAGATTGATATATACTACTAAAATAATTCCATTGTTTGTTTACATCATTCTGAAGAATTTAAAGTAATTTTTGCCAGTTTACAGATCTAAGACTAGTTACAAAAAAAATTATTTTCTGAACTGAATATCCTTTTCTGTATAACATTACCAAGTTCGTGCATATTAACCTTCATTGTTATATTTTGAGCAGTGTGATCTGAGATTAATGAATTAATGACAGTAGATACATAAGTTGAGGTACTGGTGAAAATATTGTCAATACAAGATCCACTGGTGGATGTTATGCGTCTGTATTGGAATATAGTTTGATGTAAATCATATCAATTTAAAAGTGAACATAAGAGTTGTTTGTTCAGACTTTCCTGAGAAAAATCTATATTGAAATCACTGGCTATGAAAATTGTGGCACTGTCATAATGATTTTATATCTGACCTTTCCGAGCACTGAACTCCCACCCTCACATAAACTGCACTCCCACCACTCCCTTCTTTTCTGCAAAAACACGATGCTAACTTGAAGTTCCTCATTCCATAGTTGATAATTTAGTCTTGACTTTTGCAGTGTTCAGTGTCACTATTATTTGCTATCATCTGGTTCACCTCATTTATTGAGTTTCCAAGTGACTGGACGTTTTGATGCAGTAGAGCTATTCTGTTGTATTCCTCCATTTCCTTGAAAGAGTCATAGGTGTCAAGACTCATCAGCATCAATTTGTTCCCTCCTGTTTATGTTTGAATATCCTGGCTGTAATTGATCTTATTTCTAAAACTCCTAATTCTTGATGTGTAGACTGGGCACTTTGTATCGCGGGCAGAGTAATTAAGGTCACTATATTTCATTTTTTGGCAATTTGCACATTTAAGATCATATTCCTGACAGCTGGTGGCTTCATGATTACCTGAACATTTGTAGCAACATGTCTGCTGTGTGCAGTACTCAGCAGTGTTTCCAAAATTTGAGCATTTAAAACAGATTGCCAAATTAATGTGTTCTTTAACGTAGACCCTTACTAAATCGAAGTTTATGTGACCACGGTTTAAGAACCACTTAGCAATAAAATGAGGCCTACCAAAAAAAAATTTACTACGCTTTGAAATGATAAAAAAATACAGATATTCCCAACCTTAATTTTTTTCTGAAACTATGTTACAGTTTCTTTTTAGGTATGATCGACTAAAAATTAACTATACCTTGATAAAGTAAATTATTACAACGTGTTTCTTATTAGAATAATAATTGTATAGCAGCTCTTAAAAATATCGAATTTTATTTTTATAACAAAACACTTCTCTTGGTCTAATAATTTTATGGTAGAAAATCATACTCTACTCTCCATCTCGTAAAAGATCATTTTCTTTAATTTCTGTCGACGGTAAATACGAGAGCTGAAGGTGACTTGGTGCTATTTCCGGTGCTCTCGTGTAGGAATTCAACGGCCCACTACCCGATTTTGTGAAATATGTTCACACGCAGTACTGCGGTTTTATCGGGTGGTGGAGATTTTAATAGAAATCGACCCCGATTAGTGAGTAGTAGTAGTTTGTTGTTGGAGCCCTTTTTCTCACCCTCTTGAAGATTTAGCCGTAGACATAACTACACTCTGCCATCGATCTGAGGGGAACCGTCTGCAGTGATAATCCGAGGCGAATTTAAGTAGGACTCAGCCTGTGAGGAGCAGTTCCCCATTTCTGGAAACCCTGATTGTTCGAGGGTTCTGTCTACGGGTTCTACCTTCGGGTATCGAGTTACATCTGGGGCTTCCTGCCCTCTGTTGCCTTCCTATGATAGTCAGGCACCTGCCAAGGTTTTTTTGTTTTCGTTTTTTCTACTGGAAACCATTTAGGTGGGGGATAGTACAAAACAATTTTCTTTTTTTTATTTCTTTTGTCCAATAAATGTTTATATACCTTGTGAGTTTGTAACTCCTTTAGCGTCAGCGATCCAACATTGGTTACTTGTTATTTCTTTTCCTAGTGCTTCGAACTAGGTGGCGCCCAAACCACAACTATTTGCATCCAAAAAAAGTTCAAAGAACCTCACTCTGAGGTCTCATTAACTATCGACTAACTTTGTTTTAGCGGGATAATAACTAGAAAACATCAAAAACTGCTGGAAATGATCTAAAATGTTCCGTTTTCCGCTCATAGGTCTACCGCTAGTGGGTCAATTCTCAAAACATATAAAACTTTCATTTTTGGCAATGCATGTCCTCATCCAATAACCAAAACACATAATAATCGATAATCAAAAAAAAAAATACATACCCTCAAAACACCAGAAAAGAAATTATTATTACATTGCTAAAAATATTTTTTTAATATAATATTACTATTTTTAACATTTTTCATGTGCAGGAACAAAATATGGACCAAGATAATGAAGAACAAGAGGATTCCGAATCAAAAAGCGATAAAACCAAATCCAGAACGTCAAAACGAAAACGTGACTTGTTGTCAGATTTACAAATATGGGGTTGGCACAGTAAGAGAAAACAATCAAGGAAAACAAAAGATAAAGATTTCACAGTTGAAGACGCCCTGAATAGAATCATTCCTAATAATCTACTTCCAAATAAAATAGACGCAGAAAAATACAATCCAATGGAAGATTCTATGAACACTATGGATATATACAACTTATATGTAGAAGATCGTAACGTTAACTATATTTCTCCAATACATTCGCCTAAATCAGTGAACTACGAGCCATACTTTGGTACAGATCGAGAAAAAGACGACGTACTCGAATTTTGGACTAAGAAACGTTCTAGATATGATGCTGTGACATTTGTTAAGGAAGTGGTTTTTGCTTTGTCGAAATTGTGGCACTACAGTTGGCCTAAACATCTAATTCCGCTGTATATCAAGGCGTATCAGATGTTTAGAGAACATTGTGATCAACCTCAGGTGTTGTGTACTGATCTGGAGTTTGAGCAGATAAGAGATGATGCACTGGCTACTTTGTTGTATGGTAAGTGAATTGTCACAAGCCAAAATCGAAGTCTAATGATTACTTTATGAAAATAAGCAAATCAGAACCCGACCTTTTGTAAATCAAAACAAGTGTATTCTTGTCTGTTAGAATCACCCTCACAATCTAGTTTATGACTTTTTTTACCTGGAACTTTTGACTACCTAAAGTGTGAAAATAATGTTCACTGATATTTTTTAGGCGAACTAGTGAGCTTCAGCTCCGATATCAAAGAGCATCTACAACCTACCATACTAGGCTACCTGCAACTAGTCAGTGGATGGGATGTAAAATGGGAGACAGAATATGCGTCAGTCTACAACAGAGTTCACTGGCTTCAGAGCTACATATTTCGCAAGGAAAACTCCAACGATCTCGCCATCAGATCTCTAGAACTTATACGAGAGGTTATAGAAGAGGTAGAGATGAAGTCGAAGGAAAAATATTTGCTTAGCTTGCCTAACTGTTTCAAGTACGGTCTGATTACTGGTCAGATTGTGCAGAAGATACTGAAGCATTTGGATTTGATCAACTCTTTGGGGACAGTAGAGAGTTTGTATAACTCGGAAAAGTATAACGAAGCTGCTGAAATACTGAAACAAACGTTCAATAGTTCTGGAAATTATCCTCAAGTTGGTAGACTTGGTAGGCCAGCTCAACTTGGGATTCTCATGCACTCGCTCTGGTTCACCGATTTTGCTGAATGTTTAGTGTGGACAGAGGTTAGTTTATTGTATATTATTATACAAATATACACGGCGTTTAAAAGTCTGGATAGATCAAAACATCTCTAAAAGTACGTTTTCTAGTCAAAAATGTTGTAAAACAAAGTAGTAATGTTTGAAAAGATCTATCCATTGGTGATATTGTATCTAACCTTGACTATTACCTTCAAGTTCATTTGAAGGTCAAGACAGTATTCTAAAATGAAACCACTATTTTTTAACACCTGGAAGAGGCGGAAGTTTTATGTTAGAGTATGTATTTGCCCATGACCTTGTCGATGATCTCCATGGGTATTTAAAAGTGTCCAAAATATCTCGAAAAATACATTTCATGAAGCAAAAAGTTGAGTAATAAAGTTGTTAGGTGTGAAAAGATACATATAATAATACCCTTGAACGTGACCTTGATGTATCTTCAAGTTCATTTGGAGGTCAATACAGTTTTCCTAAATGGTAACCCTTATTTTTGACATCGGAAATAAAAGAGCAAGAAACTTTATGATCAAAAATGCCCCAAGACCTTTGCTATGACTATCAAGGTCATTTGTAAATCAAATGAATATAAATTTAATTCCAGAAAGCAAATTGCGGACAATTTAAGTATATCCTTTCCAGTGAACCATCATGTTCTTCAAAACCAGGTTAATTAAAAAAAAAACTTCCTACTTTTTGCCGCGGATATAAAAAAGCGAAATTAGTCCATTGTTGCATTAACATGTTGGATAAAAATCTTTATTGTCAAAGTAACTATTGCATTACCTTGAATATTACAAAACCAATCTCGTTCACACTAATGCGAATGACCTATACTTTACACTACTTCCACGCGGGCGAAGCCGCAGGTATAAGCTAACCAAATATAAATGCACTTTCAATCCTAATTCATTGTTATAGCTGCTGAATTCCTTAGTAAAAACATATACCTAGCTGTTAAAAAAACTCTTGAAAATACCATACATTCCCTAACCTACGACGCTACATTTGCCAAGAAATTGTCTAAGCTGCACATTTTTTCAAAATTGTTTATATTATTTAAAAATAAAATCTCGAATTGACACACCCTTTATTTGTTAAACGGCGGTTAGAACATGAACCATCACGAAGGCCGAAAGCCTAAATATCCCAGCGGGAAGGGGACACGGGGAAAGTAGGGACGTCACACGGACATTTTTGCCCCGTCTTAGAGATCCGCCGGGTGGTACATCCACGATCGACAGTCTGAAACCGTCTACCACCTACAAAAAAAATGAATTTTCAGAATTCACTTCCATAAAATATTCCAATATTTTCTCAAATTGGAGTCCTTTTGAACTCATTTCTAACACTTGGCTTCAATGTAATAGCGTTCAGAAAATGTATTATTACGAGTAGATAAAATGACTATTCTTAATTTTTTTCGATGGATTTTTAACTTAATTTGTGTGCCTAGGTGTGCTTGAACGAAGCCGTGGACCACTTTTTGAAACCTAAAAAAGACTTGGAAAAATGGGAGAGAATCATCGAAAAATGTCTAGCGATTCTTTTTGAAATTATAAAATCTGAAACTGTCGTGGTTATTGATCGATTGACAGATGATCGAAAAGTTAGATTTGTGGAGAATTTGTCGAGGATTATATCAAAGCAACTGAATTTGGATAGTATGAGGACGATTCCGTTAGGTATTGTTACTCCGTGGATTTTGCTGCATTACGTTCTAGTCAGGTATGCATAAAGATTTTAATTAGGGTTGCAGCGGGTAGTGAATTGACTTGATAACGGATACCACATATCCAGTTTATTACTTGACCGTATAGCCGGATATCCGGCCGCCGAATAGCCGACCCGATCAAAAAGACTCGTAGGTGAAGATTATTTTAGCAGTGGGGAAGATAAGCTCTCACTTAGCAAGAAACTTACAAAGGTTTTGGAACTATTTCAACAAGGTGATGGAAGCAAACACCTTGGACCATTAAAATTTGTTCCAATAGAGCATTTATCTGAAAACGACAGAATTAAGTGGCAATCCATATGCATGGTGGACAGTCATTTGTAAGCAATATACAATTTAGCAAAATTTTTCAGAATATACCTCGTCTCCCTGTAGCAGTGTATATAGTGAGAGGTTGTCTTCTAAAGTCGGCTTATTGAGGAGCAGCCAAACCAGCCTTAGCCAGCAAACGCAAAAAAAGTCGCATTCGTAAACCGTAAATCGCCGTTAGTAAACATCGTTCACAATTTAGTGATAATGGCGAATTTTCTCCTTAAAGTTCGTTTCACTTGAAAAAGCAAAGGATGTTGTTTTTAATTAGATCTCAAACCTGTATTAGTTAACATCGCATGTCCCTTTTTTCAACAGCCGGACTGGAGGAGTATTCTCGATACTTTTCGTGATTGTTTGATGGTGTGTATAGAGATGACTACAAACAATGTTGTCAGTTCCTTTTTTTCGAAAAATGATTTGTTGCATTATTTATGCATTTTTTTGATGCCTCAATTTAACATAAAAAGTGATAATAAAAGTAATCACCCGCTCAATTCAATTCAATAAAATTGGAATTTTGACATACAACTTCAGAGCAATACTAATATTTGTTAACAAGTTACGATTGAAGAAGAAATGCACACAAAATGCATTTTTTACAGAAAAAATCACATCATTATTTTTTAGTCATCTGTATACACACCATGAAAAAATCCTTTTGTTTCTTGATACAAAAAATATGGTTTTATTTGTCATTCTTTTTTATATTTGATAAAGTCTGAAGCCGCATACAGACCGAATATCCAACGCCGAGCAAACGAATGCAAGCGCATGTGAGTTTGGCGTTTTTTGTTGGAAAGTATTGGAATGCGCTCGTCTACACCTAAATTTAGTTTCTAGGTGAACCGCATATGGGTTAAGTTCGGTGATAATGTCGAGCGACGAGTCTCCTCTCATCGAATGCAAACAAACGACTAAATACTAGAAGCGCAAAAATCCTGTCCAGACCAAATCAAACCTCCCTTTGATGTACCGGTCAAGGAGCGAACGCAATCGAACGCCAACGTTACCTTGGAAACCGTTGATTTATGTTGGCTCGCGCCATACACACCGATTCGAACACCTCCAAATCTGTAACCACATATGCTTTGCGCTTGCGTAGGAATTTCGGTCTGTACGGGACTTAAGATAATATTGGCTGTTTATTTTTTCCTTACTTAAGGCTGATTATAGGATTAACAAAGTTCGTATATTTTGCATTCTTTGTTTTATTACTATTCTGGTTTTGCCGGACACTAAGCTAGTTTTCGCTATCCAGCCGGAAAATAAATTGTAGCCGAATAGTTCGTACATTCAAACATACCATGTGGATAGTGAGTTGTTAGAGTATTTAGTTTTCTTTATGTGATATAATTTATAGAATTACATAGTAGTTTTAGACATAAAACAAATACATAGAGTAATTATAGTATTGAAAGCACATCTGCAGATATATTTTCTGAGCCGAATCCTAATCTGAATGTTTCAGAAACGAACAAATAGAATATGCTCGTAAGAGAGCAGCACAAATAAAAAGAGGTGTAATTCCAGTTGATGAGGATGTTCCTGCTTCTATTGCGATTTTATTCTCTGCTCATGAATTTTTAGGTTAGTATACACATATGTATTTCTATTTTACTAAATGTTTATATTCTATCGTCAATCTTCACTGATAGTATTTCTTTATTTTTACATTTGTAGGTCCAAGAGGCGCTTGTATGACAAATCAAGGAGAACTGTTACATTTCATACTGGATACTGTACTTGATAGGTTGGATACACCAGTTTTTGAACATCTCAAAGATAAAATGGAAGTTCACTTAGAACAGGCATTTTTCTGTCTTTATCAGCATCCCAGCAAAAAAAGCAAGGTAAAACATTTACTGATAAACCATTTTTCGAAATTCGCGTAATTTCTTCAATTAAAACTCAAACAATGATTGGACTATTTCTCTGTGAGCGAGAAGTACCGAACGTAAAAACTAAAATTCAACATAAATAAATAATGTGACTTCTAACGCTTCCTGCGGTTCTCTACATGTTTTGCGGTCCGGCAGATGAAATCACATATGAATGTTGAATTTTATTCACATTTTAGCTACTTTTTGAAAATACATCTAGTGTCAATAGCCATTGAATAGCTTAGTCAGTTTCAACAGCAATTTTAAATTGACTGTCAGTTTGTTGATTAAATGTTGCGAAATATCAAAGGTATTCCACGGCTACTGCTATTCAGCTGGACCGCTTTACTTTGGCAGAACGTGCTTAATGTTAATGTGCAATAACATCGAAAGTATTTGTCACTTTTGATGTATTTGAAGAAGGGTCACCGAGTTAGTAAAACATGGAGATTTGATATACTAGGGCCATTTTTAAAGTAAGAACTGGTTGCGCAACGTGTCCGCTTATATTGTCGCGTGACGTCCGTTCAACCTCAAATATTCTTGGCCAGCCTCGCACTACGACGCCATTACGTTTGACGTCGCTGTCGGTGTTGGTTGTGATGATACTACTTTGTTTCTCGCCATGTCAAATTAGCAAAGCCGATGTTTGTAAAGTACGCTAAGTAGTTTGGTTTTTAAATGCAAAAAAAAACGCAGGCGAGGCCTGCTCTCTAGCGTCGCGTTCTGCTTCACAACAACGCTCGGCCTCACGTTGCTGAACATAGACGCAACTGGCCAAGTTTCGCCAGGAATTACTGGATCATCCACCATACAGCACCACTAGACTTTCGTATTTTTCCAAAACTTAAGGAACATCTTGGTGGAAAGCACTTGGAAAATGATGACACGTTGAAAAAAACAGTTACTAACTGATTTAATGGTCAGTTGGCAGCGTTGCTTGACGACGGGATCCACAAGCTGGTGTCACGACTGAAAAATATTTAAATGGCAACTATACCTGTATCCCTTGTTATGTAGATTCTCCAAAAAGAGTTTGATAAAGTTCGAATCTATAAAATGATTATTAGACCAGCCATTACTTGTTCGTATGCGGCTTGATGTTTTCAATGTCTTCTAGAACTGCAAAGCAGAACCTTACGAACAATTTGCAACCCTCCATGGTATGTCTCAAATGAGACACTACACAAATACCTTGACATTCCTTGCTTGAGGGATTATGTCAAGCTTCAGGCGCAGCGACATGATAGTCAAGCGTAATCGCACAACAACCCTCGGTTGCGTGACTACACAGTGGAGGAAGTTCGTACACAGGGCGTGGCTCGCACTGTGATTAAAAATTAGCGCGAACTAAGTGAACAAAAAATTACACTAACAGAACTTGAATCAAGGTTGGTTTTTAATTCACCTCAAAATTACTCCGTATAGTAAGTCAAAAAGCCGAGGTATTTCCATTTAAACTGATACGCTTCTGTCTTCTTTGCTCTTCTCCTTCTTCAGAGCTGACAGATTCGAATAACGTAAATTAGACAGTGACTACGGGCAAAGGTCGGACCGGTCTGACAAACAAATGAATAGTACGTATGAATAGCAAATATTTAAACATTTATGGAGACACACCAAAAATGGTACTGGGTTTTAGACAATATATATATATACAGGGTGACTTTGAAGTTGAGTCCTTAATTTTCAGATAATGATTGTAGAAGGAAGATAAACCAAAATATGTGTCTAAAAATAAAAAAACATTAAAAAAAATGTTACCTTGTTTTATAAGTATCCTCCCGACAAGTATTTCAGTGCGGACCTGTATTTGATCGTGCGGTCTTGGAGCACCGGCAGGCCCTCCCCTGTAAGGTCTTAAGTCTCCTGATTCACGAGCCTTTTGTACTATATTAACAAAGGCACGAGGGGTTGGTTGCACTCGATTGGGAAACCGATTCGCACAAATCCGTGATGCCGCGGCAGCTTTTTGTAAAGACCCCCCGTAAATAAGAATCATGTCCACAAGTTCAGCATTTTCGTAAACATGTGCTATTTTTTATTTCGTTTGAGCCACGCAACAAACACCACTATTCACTCACGCGTTACCGCCTGACGAAAAACATCGTGATAAACGTTTCAAATTCTTTCGCTTTTTTGTTTCCGATGCGATGAACCGATAACGCGGATTATATCCGTTGTTGCCAAACACGAGCACATAATATTATTATTGAGACAGGGCGGTACTCAAACTTCTAAAGGGCTATAACTTTGTTACTTTAATTTTACCAGAAAAACGTTAAAGGAAAAAAACATTTATTTTGATCAGATCTACTCACTGTTAAAATAAATGACTCAACTTCGAAGTCACCCTGTATATATATATATATATATGGAGACTATGTTGAAAATGAAAAAATGTTCATATTTAGTTTGTGACAATTTACATTCATAAAAAAGATTTCTCCGACTCCTTAACAAAACGATTATTACTACAAAAATGACCCTCGTAAGTGTTAATTCTGGAAACCATAAAACTATTTTTCAGAGTTCGCGTCATTTGGCGGACCACAACGTAGACCCTCTACCACTATCCTGGGAACGAGCATTTCAACTCTATGAATTCTTCGGTCCAGACTGCTTGCCGGAATTCAACTCCTACAAAAACGCTTCTATTTCCTGCGATATCGAGCAGCTACTCAAAAGAATCATCGCTCTGGTTCCTCAGAACTGCTCCCCTCAGCAACATTTACCGAAAATCATGGATTATATCCATGGGAAGGTTGAAGTGGTTCCAGAACCCATTGAGTTCCCATTTAAACTCATTTCTATATATTATTTGATCGGAGATTACTACTTTAAACAGAAGGAGTTCAAAACTTGCACAAAATACTTCCAAATGGACTTGTGCATTAACCCACTGCGCTTAGACTCGTGGGCTTGTCTTGCTTTAAGCTATGCAGCACAGTTGGAAGCTAAGTTGACACATTGTGCGAAGTTTAAAACTGAAATGGACTTTCTGGATAAAGCGAAGTATGCTTCGATTTGTTTCAAAAAGGCTTTGGAGATATCTCCGGATTGTCTAATGTTGTGGCTCGAGTATGGGACGTTCCAGTATACAGCACATTCTTATTGCTCTAGAATATTGAAGTTCGAGTCGGAAAATTTGAGTATGGAGAAGTAAGTATCAATTTTCATCGTTGTGACAGTTTCGTTCAGTTTTTAAAGTAACCCACTTCAACATATGCATGTTATGATGCGGCTACAAAAACTTTTACTTCCCACGCCTACTGGAGGGGATGTATTGTAAACGCAAAAATTTGTCTGTCTATCCGCTAATCCTGTAACCGCCTATAACAACCTCTCGGATTTTGATTAAATTTTTACATAATGTTACTACTTTGCGAAGAACAAAAAAGCTTTGTTCAGTGGCGGCCTTGGGTATCGGAGAGAGGCGACGTTGCCAGATGGACTACCGGTAGGGCAGGGAAAGAATGTCTATGGATTAAGTTTGTGGACCTATTTCACTGACTTTTTCTCTAAAGGACGCCATTTTTTCCGGTGGCTTTCTACTAAAAAAATACTGCCACTGGTTGTTGAACCACCCTGTATGTACAGTCTGCTAAAATCAAAAGTTTGGCAATTTTGGCCTAACAAACAGGATTGAAAATCAACTAAGACTGATGTACTTTTTAGGGTCTTCTAGAAGAAGGTCTGAACTTTCATTTAGATACTTGGCAACCTCAAAAGTATAGGTTTTTAACTAAGTTGTTATGCATTGAAAATGCCAATTTAATGCTTTTTCAAGCACTGAATCCCTTAAAACTCGAAAAGCCTCAAACCTGGCAAAATGTTACTAGAAACCTGACGAAAATTGGCCGGAGCCGGACAAACATTTTTTGAAATTGTTTAAAAAATTCGATCCGGGTTACCAACCGGCAAACTCTTGATTCATGTTAAGGGGCATCTAACAGACGTTTTCATGAAAAAATTCGAATTGAAAAGATTTTCTTTTAAAGCTACAAATCACATTACACAGAACCGAGCATGGCAGAGTATTTTCTCAAATTTCAGAGTTCAACAGATGGTATAAGGTACATTAGGTTATTTTAGTAATTTTCTTTGTATAAAAAATAAAGTGCAAGTGCAGTCCGCTCTATCAGACAGGCCTTGGTTAGACACGGGGTTGGATCAATCCTAATAGATTGGGTCCTCTCTACTCTGGAGGGTCGGGTAACAACAGCTATGCTGAATAACGTAAGCTGCAGCATGAATGTAGCTAGAGGCTGCCCTCAGGGCGGAGTTCTGTCATCCCTACTGTGGTGTATCTTGGTGAACGAACTCCTCGTTAGGCTCAGCAGTATGGGTGTCTATGCGCAACAAGCCTATGCTGATGATGTAAGCATAGTAGTTAGGGGGCGTTTCTGTAGAACACTCTCGGAAATTATGCAGGGCGTTCTGCGCTCCGTGGAATCGTGGTGTAGGGAAGTCGATCTTTCTGTTAATGCTGAAAAGACCGAGCTGATCCTATTCACTAGGAGAAGAAGGCTTGACGGACTGGTCATGCCGACCTTCTTTGGGACTAGATTACTTTTGTCCCAGTCAGTTAAATATCTGGGAATTATCCTGGATTGCAAACTGAACTGGAGAGAGCATGTGGAATACAAGGTTAGCAAGGCTCGCAATTCGATGTGGGCTTGTAGACGTGTTGTCGGTGTAAGGTGGGGCCTTAAACCCAAAGTGGTATACTGGCTCTACACGACGATAGTACGTCCATCTCTCTTGTACGGCTCCCTGGTCTGGTGGCCTTGCATTAGAACTGAGTCAACTAAGGCCAAACTCAATAAAATTCAGCGTTTGGCCTGTATTAGCATTACAAGCGCAGTGCGAACAACGCCATTGAGTGCAATGGAAGCTCTGTTGGATCTCCCACCGTCGGATCTGGTGACCCGCGGTGAAGCGAGAGTAGTCGCTCATCGACTGTGGAGTCAGGGCAGCTGGGCTTTCTTGAATCCGGTCAAGGGGCATACTGCCATCTTAGTCGAATTAGCAAGGGAGGACCCCGTCCTTCTAAGCAGGGGTGATCGTATTACCTCTAAATATCGCTTCAACCGCAAGTTTATTGTGGAGTATCCAACGAGGGAGGAGTGGGACGCCGGTAGCCGAGGACTCTCCGAAGTGAGCGGGCAGGTCTGGTACACGGACGGCTCGGTCACCGAAGAGGGCTCTGGTGCTGGGGTCTCTGGGCCTAGAACTAGACTATCTCTGCCTCTCGGTGGATACACCACCATTTTCCAGGCGGAAATCTTTGCGATTCTGGCTTAAGTATCTCACATTCTGGAGGAGGGTGGGCCTAGGAGAAGAATAACAATCTTATCCGACAGCCAGGCTGCAATGAAAGCACTAAGTGCCTGGAAGGCCTGGAAAGGCTCTGGATTGCCTCGCAGCGAGGCATCCGGTATCGTTAATATGGGTACCGGGGCACGCTGGGATAAGGGGCAATGAGACGGCGGACACTCTGGCGAAAACAGGATCAGCCAGCAAGCTCGTTGGTCCTGAGCCAGCTCTAGGAGTAACCGCGCATAAAGCTAGGAGGAAAATGGAGACGTGGGTTGCAAGACAACACTCTCAGAAATGGAGAAGTATCTCTAGACATCTCCGCCAGGCACGAGAGCTCATTGAAGGGCCCAGTGCTAAGGATGGGCGCTTCTGCCTATCTCTGGGTAGAGCCAACCTAAGGTTGCTGGTGGAACTGTTGTCTGGCCATAACACGTTAAGGCGTCACCTGCACGTGATGGGGGTGGCTGAGGATCCCTTGTGCGAACGCTGCGGAGTAGAGGAAGAGACCTCGGCGCACGTTTTGTGTGGCTGTGAAGCTCTGAGCTACTATAGGCAGACTATACTGGGGTCCATTACTTTGGACCCTCAGGACGTCAAGGAGCTTGGACTCAAGGCGATTCTCAACTTCGCTAAAAGGGCGAGACTTGTGATTTAAGTATTGTAGAGGTGCATAAGGGCCCGCTTAAGCGGCCTATGCACTGGCTCCTTATGGTGGCCGGGATGCCTCTAAATTTTAAGATTCATTCATTCATTCATTCAATCCGCTTATGTTACCACGTCTGCTAAAATCCAAGATTCGCATTTTGTCAGCGTACCATCCGTTTCTAAATGCGTCTGCCACAATTTGGCATCATCGCACTGCTTACAAAGGTATAGTGAAACCCCGTTTTTATGCTTTGGATACATACCTAAAAATGATGATTTTCAATGCTTAACAACTTAGTTAAAGCTTAATATTTTTGATGTTGACAAGTGTCTAAATCAAAGTCCAAACCTACCACTACCAGACCGCGAAGAGTATTTTAAGCCAAGTTTATTTTAAAGTAATGTTTTATCTTGCTTGTTAGGCTAAACATGGCCGACTTTTGATTTTCACAGACTGTACTAGTAGAAAGGGGGAGGCGAAACTTGGCAACTAGGCCACCTTCTACCCTTTTTGTCAACTCCCTTGAGCTATCATGCTCTAATACCTGTTTATGAACCCTATGTATCAGGTTTGAGTTCTTGGAAAATCAAAAGAATAGCTACTTGGATAATGCTGGCGAAAGTTTTGAAAAAGCAATAACACTGCATGAGACAGAAGAGGGATCTAATGAACCTGACGAAAGATGGTTGCAATACTATATTCTTGGAAAAATTGCCGAGAAAAAGCAAAAAGAACCTACAGAATACCTACAGTATTATTTAACGGTAAGGTTACAACCTTTTTAATCAGTTGGATTCAACAAGAGACATTTCGTTGTAAGGATTGAATAATAATTTACTAGAAAAATAATATTTAATAATTAATCTTTTTTTTCGCATTTTGTATAAGATTTTCATTTTTGATATCAGGCTATTTTACCGTACATGATAACATTTCAACCCAATGCACTCTTAAAAACAATAGAATAACTAATAGAAATTGGACTTGTTTCTATTTTTTCCAAGGAACTTTATTCCCTTGAAAATATCAGGTGGAAAATTGCTGGGATTTCGCCGCCGTCCGTCAGTCTCATTCTTAAAAACGAATTTAATTTTGGATGATTTGAAATATCAAAGAACATATCATTTGATCAAAAATAAATACATTCACAAACTAAATCTATTCGATAATCGTTAAAAGCTATCAGCAAAAGCCTAGAAAACTGATAGAACTACATCTATGTTCTATTTTTTATCCTGATCCCTCATTTTCAAGAATTTGCCTTCAGTACTAACGAATTTCTTATATGTAAGCTTCATATTTTTTGCTATAAATAATACTAAAAGGATAATATTTTCAGGCGTCTAAACTTCTGGAAGAGAACAATGCCCAGTATCCAGACAAAATAAACTACAACTCACCTCAACATTTATCTGTCGAAGTACTTGAACTGCACTATAGGATTCACGCGTCGGTACTGAAATACATGGAATTACACGAGAATAAAGAAGTACCTAATTCGCTTGGAAAATTTTTCAATAAATGCATCGATTCATCATCATTTTACAAAAAACGTACGTCTGAAGTCGCTTCAGAAACGGTTGGTTTGGTTTCGGAAACAGCAGAAAAGATTATTCCCGGCAAAAGTGCTGATAATACTTCTTCGGCGCTAGGATTTCAAGAACAATTTTTGAATTCTCTCAGTAAGTTGGATGGCAGTCATATTCCTGTAGACAACAGTACTGTGGATGCTGCTGACAACAAGATGCAGATTGAAACGGCTCTAGATGAGAAGAAAGAAGACAAATCTAACCAAGAAGTACGAAATGAAGCTGTAGAAACTAAGAAAATGTCTGAAGAAACGTTCAAAGAACCTGCTGTAGAAGGAAAGTCAAAAGATATAAGCGGTGATGATGTGATAATGATTTCCGATTCAGATGATGAGAAACCAGCTGTGACAGAGAAAGATGAAAAAAACAGCGATACTGAAAAGATAGATGATCTAGTACAAGCCAGTACATCTAAATCAGGTAAATACACGATTACATTTGAATCGACCGATCTTTATTTTATAAAACATAGACTGTGCTTTGTCCTTGATTAAATGCTCTCTAGATTAAAATCTTTCCAGAAGCTTCTACGACAAAACACTATCGTCAACCTCTGTTCCTCAGTCAATGTGTGTACCACTCATTAACATATTCTACACGAAGAGGGTCTAATACTATATACGCGTGTCAGAAAAATTATCAGAGATGAAATGAAATACTGTAGCGATATCTATGAGAATTTGTGACAGCTGTTTCTCCTCTCCACAATAATTACAAGTCTACTTTGATAAGGTTAGTGTCACGTAGATAGCGCTGTAGCTATATGCTCATACGGTGAAGATTAAATTTGGCAGACGGGCTGAGTTCAATGTGAACGAGAGCGAAGCGCGAGAAGTGTCTAGCAGCAAGGCTGACGCGGCAATCTGCCGCAATGCAATGTGTTGCACCAGTTCCTTGAATTAAGATGCATGTTGAAAATATGCGTTTAGTTTATTCCTTACGCCCAAATAGTGGTTTTATTTTGAGCGAACATATGTTTGAATTGTGAATTGTGTCGAATCTGTTTAGGATCGATTTTTGATCGGTCTTAACGGCGCTGCATTTTAGGTCGAAATTAAGGCTCAGGATCAAATTCGGCAACATAGCATCATTGGTTCGCTTGTCAACACCGCATCTCGTCCATTTTCCACCTCCTTAGATGATAGATGAGCTATTTTGGTAATGTTGCCGAATCTACTGATTCTTCTGAATTTCTACCGAAATGAGACCTTATTTACCGAAATACCGAAAACCTTTTTTCCACGATTTTTTAAAATAATCCAGATAAATTCACATTTTTTACGGAAAAAGAGGTGGAACCAAAAATAAAGCTAAAAAATGAATTTTAAGTAGTCTGCATCTTTAAGGTTGATTCTCATTATACATTCCGTTTCCATTCCGTGACCGTTCCGTAAATTATTGAAATTAAATAATCGCCTTCGCTTAAAGCAGGCAATTGCGTGTGTATGCACATTATCCGTAAGGTATACTGTGTATACAATCACATTGTACGGGACGTTTACGAAACTGATATGGAATGGAAAACGGAATGTATAGTGAGAATCAACCTTTATGCTCTATACCAGTCATACATAAGCGTACACTTAGGCACACACGGGACGTAGATTTGGATTGCCTACAATTATTTACACACATCCCGCTTTCCCTAAATTGTTTTTTGTGCGTACAACAGGTACAAACTGGTAGATCACCATCATTACCGCATGGCCGGACAAGCAGTAACGGAACCAAAGCTCGCCTATATTTTATTGAAAATTAAAATGTCAGATGATGAAGTTTCGAGTTCAGGGAAATACCTTGCCTTGGAATGTACAAGATATAGTGTTGTCAAGCGAAAAAGATGATGCAATGTTGCAGAATTTTTGGCGAGCCTGACCTTCCATTTCGACCGCAATTCACAATTCAAAAATGTGTACGCTCAAAATAAAACCATTACTTGGGCGTACAGAATAAACAAACGCATATTTTCAACATGCGTCTTAATTCCAGAACTGATGTTTAATATTGGCAACGCGGCAGATTGCTATCCTGCCTGCTTTTATCTCTTTCTAACATGCTCGCGCTTCTCTCTCGTACACATTGAACTCAGCCCGTCAGCCAAATTTGAACCACACTGTATATAGTTATCTACAGCACCATCTATCAGACACTAACGTTTTCAAAGTAAACTCCCAATTATTGTGGGAGATGAAATTCTCATAGATGACCCTACGGTATATCTTATTTCATCTAGGATAATTTTTTGCACGCCCAAAATTTGTATGCGGTTAGCTATCTTCAGGTAGAAAACGTTAATCAATGGTGGTACCTAATAATTGTCATACGACAAAACTTATGCCATCTCGTACTTATGGTGACATTTTAAGTACAAAGGGTACGATAAAAGTTTTGCAATATGACTTAACAAACTGACGCAGGAAGCTGCATGTTACTGCATGTTGAGACATTTCCATGAGTGCATAGTGGCCTGCAGCACGTCTCTTGATTTAGTTGTTCATTCGTATTGACAGTGTAAAGTGGACTATGGCATCGTGGTCACGTAGTCAGATAAGGGTAGGTAACTTTACGCGTGTTTTAAGCATAGACCAGTGCTTAGAAGAAATAACGCTTGCATTAAAGAGTGATTGTCCCCATCGTACGACTATATTCAGGTGGTACAGAGAATTCCAAAGGCGCAATTTCACTCTGGAGGATGCTGACAGGGAAGGAAGGCCGGGAACGTGAGTAACAGAGGAAAACATTACTGCTGTGAGGAAAATGCTTGACGAAGACCGGAGAGTAACATACCAACATATGGAGGAGACCTTACACCTTCATGCACCAGTAATTGATACCATTCTGTTTGGCCATTCACACGTAAGGAAACTTTGTTCTATCTGGGTATCGCATGGTCTGACCGAAGAGCAGAAGACTCGTTGTACGACTTGGTGCCGAAAGATGCTGAAAATGTTTGATAAGGGGCAATCTCGGTATGTGAACAGCATTGTGGCAGGTGACGAGACTTTTGGTTCTATTATTAGGATGTGGCGACCGAGGCTCAAAACAAAGTTTGGGTCTTTGATGATGAGAACACACCCGTAGCTGTTATAAAAATGTCTGTTAAGAAAAAAATGATAGCTATATTTTTCAAATCGAGCGGGATTTTGAACACACAGAAGACAGTCACAGCTAAATGGTACACGAAAACAGTTCCTGCCTAAAGTCATAGAGTCTATGAAAAACCTGCGGCCAAAGTCAAGAAGTAACAGTTGGTACCTCCACCATGACAACGCTGCAGCTAACCGCGGCAAAGAATTTGACCACTACTGGACTGAGACTTATTGGGCACCCTGCTTACAGTCCAGATCCTCACCATGCGACGTTGCACTTTTTCCGCATGTGAAAATGAAGCTAAAAGGAAAACGGTATTCTAGCGATTAGGGCCTTTTGAGGGCTTGGGACAACGAGTGTGCCGCACTCCCGGGTGAAACTTGGCAGAGCTGGTTTAAGGACTGGTTTTGGCGGATGGACAAGTGTATTGAATGTGGTGGAAATTACTTTGAACGAAGTCAATAAATAAAGCTGTATTACTAAACTTTTATAGTACCCTTTGTACATCGAGCTTAGCGGGAATCCGAAGACTCCGTGAAGTATTTTTGTGAAACTTCAACAATCTATAACTGCAATATTATCTAAGATAGACTTGGAAGTGTACGTGTCATAGTATGTTCTTAATGTCACATCACATGGAATCACTGAAACCATTAATTAACGTATTCTACCTGAAGATAACTAAACGGATGTTATATTTTCGCGTCCAAAGGATTATCCGAGATAATAAAATTATATACCTTAGCATAGTCCATGAAAAATCGTCAAACCTTAGTAAACATAAACTTGAAATACCTATGAGAAAAATGGACGCCGGCCTAACCAATTAGTCTATAGCACCAGCTGCCAACCAACGTCCAGGATCGACTGGCAAATTCAAAGCTATCCACGCCACTGTTTCTTCGTTCTCTCATGATTCCTTGGTACCCCATCTGGCAGCGTTCACGTGAAACCTATAACTCATCCTAAACATAGCATACAGGTTACTGTCCACGAAGCAGAAAGTGATTGGAGATGTCTTACCAATCCGGTTTGTTTCATTTGAACGCCGCCAGATCGGGCACCAAGGCAGGTTGAGAGAACAAAGGAACAGTGGCGAGGGTTGGATTTGAGTTGCCTCTAACAGTCGACCCTGAAAGTGGGTTGGCAGCTGGTGCTGTAGACTAATTGGTTAGGTTGGCTTCACGGAATGGAGGAGATGCAGGTTCGAATCCCGCCTGCACCTATTTTTCTTGTCTCACAAGTTGTTATTTATTAAACATGCTCGCTGTTGCGGATGCGCTCTTCCGGAAAAGCGTATACAGGTTCGTTACTACAGCTGTCCATACATTTACCATATATGTATACTTTGAAAAAGTTAGTGTCCCATAGATGGCGCTGTAGTCAAAACTGTGCGAGTATATACTAGATGGCGCAGCGCCATGAGGCACTACTTATCTATCCAAAGCATGTATAGTAAATGTAAATAGAAAAACAGTTGTGACACATTCTCATAGATACCGTTACAGTATCTCATTTCATCTCGGATAATTTTCCAAACGTTAGAGCATTGTACAGGGTTTGTCCGGAAAGTAATAGAACTGAGTCGATTTAAAAAAATTATTGAGCCAATCGTTACAATTCTTTAAAAACTTTCAAAATAGGCTCCTTCTGCGTCGATGCAGCGCTGGCAGCGCGATTTCCAAGCATTTGAGGCATCACGGAAGGCATTCTCCGGAATAGCCTTAAGAGCCGCGGTGCATTCTGCTTAGATCCCCTCTGTCGTCTCAAAATGCTTGCCTGTCATCGGCCTTTTCAGGCGAGGAAACAAAAAAAAGTCCGGGGGGGGCACATCTGGGCTGTAGGGCGGCTGCGGAAGCGTTGGGTTGCCGGCCTTGGTCAGGTAGCTGTTCACAAGAAAGGCGGTGTGAGCCGGGGCGTTGTCGTGGTGCAACTTCCAGTCGGCTGCAATATCTTGTCAGACCCGACTGACCCTTCGTTTGAGTCACCTGAGCACTTCCACGTAAAACTTGGCGTTGACGGTTTGTCCAGGAGGAACAAATTCCCGGTGGACGATGCATTTGATGTCAAAAAAGACAATGAGCATCGTTTTCACTTTGGATTTGCTCATTCTTCCCTTTTTTGGGCGAGGAGACGCCGTCGTGTGCCACTCGGAAGATTGCCTCTTTGTCTCGGGATCATACTCAAAGATCCACGACTCGTCACCTGTGATTACGTTATTCAAAAATTGGGGGTCACTTTCACACATGTTCAAATTTTCTTGGCACACTTCCACTCGCCGCAATTTCTGATCGTCAGTGAGCACTTTTGGGACCATCTTCGCGCACACCTTGCGCATGTTCAAATGCTGTGTCACAATGTCATGAACCACAGATTTTGGTAAATCTAACATCTGAGCAGTTAAACGAATACTTAGTCGACGGTCTGAGTTCAAAACTTTGCGCACACGAGTCACATTATCGGTGTTTGTGGAAGTCGAAGGTCTTCCAGCACGGTTTTCATCAGCGACTTCTTCCCGGCCCTCCAAAAAGGCCTGGTGCCACCGAAACACACCCCTTCTTGCTAAAGCAACACCTGGGTAAGCCTGCTTGATCATATCACACGTCTCTGTCGCAGATTTACCGAATTTAATCTCGTACCTCTGCTCTAACGAACGCTGCATTTTCGGCTTGCACCACTCACAGAAACACGTCGCGCGAAAATGCCTGTCCTGACTCTCCAAGTGCTCGGAGACAACTGACCAGCCGCTCATTCGTTAGCTAGGAACGCCCTAAACCAAATCCAGTCGGTGTGCGCACGCTCCGACGTACAGTCATGGCGGAAGAAAATGAGTCCTATTACTTTCCGGACAAATCCTGTATTAGGTTGGCTATCATCAGGTAGAACACGTTAAACAATCCTGACCAGTATTCGAGTTATAGAGACAAACATTAGAGTGATAGGGAAACATTTTTTGGGACATCACTAGTATTATACTGATCTGTACTTATGTTGACAACTGTGGGAATGTTTTTTTAATACGACGCTTTTGTGGCAAGTTGGTGAAAATGTAACGATCGCCGCCGACCGATGGTTTGATAGTGACGATCGTCAGATTTTTATCGACTTGCGTTTTTGCTTGTTTCCTTCCCGTTTCGCCTGTCTCCAAGACTAGACTAGACTAAAACAGCTGTCTAGGGTTGATCACGGTTACAGAGTCGAAAAACAAACATGTCTAGTTCAGCTACGATGATTTTATTTATAAAACTGTTTCGATTTACGCAGTGCACGTAAAGACACCAACAGAGGTAGAAAAAATGGAGGAGACACCTGTAGAAAAGGAGCAACCTATGCAGGAAGTGAAAGATTTTCAAAAGATGCTTGATGAAATGATGGTTGAAACAATGAAAGAAGCTGAAAAAGAAGAGCTGGATTCTGATTTAAGCACCACAGGAAAGGTGGAAGAAGTTTCTATTAAAGAAGAGTCAGTTCCTGATTACAAACCTTCTCCTGACAAAGCTATAGACTCTCAACCGGTGGTTAAAGTGAGTGATAGTGAAACTGATACTGATAACAAAAAGGTAAGCGTCGAATCAGTGATGTGACATTTTTTTTGTCATTGAGTTGTTTTATTGATATCAAACTCGAAGTAATCTCATTTTTGTAAGGTTTTGAGGATGACTATGCTATTAAAACGGTTTTTAATTTTTTGTATCTACAGACTTCGTCAAGCAGTTCATCGTCTTCCAGCAGTTCAAGCAGTAGTTCAGAGTCTGACAGTGACGAAGATGATGAAGAAAGTAGTTCATCATCATCGTCATCATCCGATGATGATGGGGAAAATATGTCCAGCAGTGAAATATCTCAACTTATAGACAAATGCATCGTAGGTAAGTATAACTGTATAATTGATATTAATTTATTTATTTTGACTGTTTTTACAAGATGGCTTTGTACGACGATGTTTAAAAATTACAATTACACTACATTCAAAACTCACATATTAAAAATATACCTACCCAGCTTAGTTCTAAAAACACTATATGAAATCCCCAGAAAATCCAGATACGCGTTATATTTATAATTTACGTAAGGGATGAGCCGATACACAGTGAAATTTTGGGTTTCTCTTGTGCTAAATCTATTACGGGACAACACATTGTTTGACCTCAAAATTTTAACTGAAAAATGTATTATTTTCAACGGATCCGGCAATCAATTATATTATTTAATAGTTTAAAAATAAAGCAATGTCCAGAAACATAATTTTTTCTTCGAGCAAAAACAATCCTGTTACCCTCCTGATGGACTCAATCTGTAGATGTTCGTTTTCCTGCCCCATTTTGTAACGTAGATACCTTAAAAACTTGTCTTGTATATCTTCAATGCGTTTTTTAAGAATCTCGTAATATGGGCTCCGTATTCCGTATTCCAATAACGATCTTACTAATGAGGCAAAATCCCATACATTCAAGTCCCTAAGATCTTTACATGTTCTTGATATCAGCCCTACACTGCAATCAGCTTTGTAAATAATATACTGGTAATGATCTGTAAATGTAATCTTACATTAGAGGTATAGATGCCAAGGTCTTTGACTACATTCACTCTAGGTGTCTTTGATCATGTAAGTATACAATGCAGCTCCAATTACGAGCAAGAACGATATTTGAACATTTCTTAAGAACGATATTTGAACATTTCTTAGTATTCAGTTTTAAATTATTGAACTGAAACCACAGGACTAAAATATTCATATAATTAATATGGTTGCACTAACTTGCCTAACTGTAGGACTGGAGATATGCATCACAAGACTGACTCAGAACTACAAAGCATTGTATCGCCTGGCACATTTGTACTTCCACTATAAGGCAAAGAAGGATTTAACTAAAAGTAGACAGTTACTTTTGGGTGAATACAAGTGCAAAGATGGCGTCGCTATAGGAGGGCTGTTCACTGATAGAAAGCATTATAATTTCTTTAACGTAAGTTTTACCAGCTACATATACTTCGTATAGGAATTCACCAACACTGTACGATCTTCACTCTTGTTTTGACATCCTGAACAACAGTGATAAAGATGATATTAATGATAGTGACAGCGATTATAGGACTAGTATGATGTCACAAGATCACGAAAACAGTAAAATGTGAGAAAAGATTGATAAACTTGCGTAGTCTAATGCTCACCGGAAAAGTATCATCACGATTTTGGACAATGAGCGGAAAAAATGTTGGTTTACATCGGAGCCTATTTCCGTTTTTCCGAAACAGAAATTTTGATAGATAGATAGATAGTTTTCACTGTCGTAGTGGTCGATTCCGCTTATAGATGGCACTTTGTGCGGTCTTATTGCGATAAACATTTTAATATTGAATGTGCAGCTAAACATTTATATTTTTAGGGAATCTGGAGGATTCCATCAACGGAAATTGATAGACCCGGATCACTATCTGCTCATATGAGTAGATGCGTTTCTCTGTTACTTCAAATACTACGAACAACAAACGATAACAAGACCTTGATAGATCTCGCTGTACAACTTTACAAAACACCAGAACCAGACAAGTTAGTATCAATTATAGTCTCATTACGTTACCACCAAGGAATTCAGACTAGAAGGAGCCAGTCAATGATTTGTTTGTTTCCTAATTCTCATACTCTGTAGTGAAAAACTGCACCTGACATAAGTCAACTTTTAGACAGTTCTGTCATTAAATTCTCATTTTTAGTTTTATTTTTTAAAAGTGCGAGTGCTTGCAGATAATTGTGGTGTTAAACGATTTCTTCTATTTAAATTCATTGGTTACCACTAATTCATATTCTGACTGAATCATAAAATATTTTTCTGAAAATACTGTTTAACACGTGTGTCATAGGAAGTGTAATGTAGCAGGCTTAGTACTGCCTCCGAACTCTTGTTGCTAGATGGGCACCAATTCGGTACTCGTTATGATGCTCGTGAATTGTATTCTCAGTAAAAATGCACAATAATATTTTATTTTATTATTAAAGGATATACATAAAAGATTCCGAACGACTAGCTTTCTCAGATCAAGCTCTCACCATGTGTCTGCAAAGTTTAAGAAACAACGCTAAGAATATTGAAAGCATGACCAACACTCAAATATCTAAGCTACTCAGTGACATATACAGAGTGTATCTGAGAATTCAGAAGCACTTGCCTGGTAAAGAAACGCCTTTTGGCAATTTGCTGGGTGATAACTACAAAAAATTCATCAAGGAAAAGGTGAGTCACATTGATTTTTAGGTCCTCATAAAGTATCAGCTATTTTTCTCTACAATCACGAAAAAATGTATTGCTCGCATTGAATTACGTGCAAATGAATCTTTATCGCTCACACACGTCAGAGCGAAAAAAAGGTAGCTAAAATCTCACAATAAGCTGTTTTGAATGGTTTGTTCATGTATATTAGAATCTGAGGATAATTGTATTTCATTTTTAGATTCCAGATAACGCAAATGTGCTTGAATTGGCTACTAAATTTTGTATTCAAAATAAGCAGTCTGAAAAACAGAAAATAGCCCAAATTGCAACTAATCCTGTGGCAATGCCAAGAAATCCAGGTGCTCCAGTGGTGAGTATATTTTTTTCAAATCCTTTTTTAAATCATTTAGTTTTCATATTACATAACATACATATTACGAAAAATCATCAAACTCATTTGGATTGGCCCGCCTGTCTGTTGGTCTATTTGTCAGTCTGTCCGCCAATCCTTGACCCCTCTATAACTTGGAAAGTTCTACCTTGACTTTGATGAAATTGTGACACAATGTTACCACTATGCTAAGGAAGAAAAGGCTTTGTAATCGATCCAGTAACAGCGAAGTTACCGGCAAAGAACGAAAGATGATCGGACTTAAAAACCCCGTTAATTATACGCACCTATACGTAGATTTACCGTACATTTGCCCTTAAGACTGAATGAAATGTTTACGATATCCGCGTTCAGCGCAACGAAACAGGAAATAAACCTGTGACACTGCCGCTGGTGATTTACTCATAACATTTCCGATCGCAACGTTGCTGTTGGGTAGGAACTGAGGACTAATTGTATAAGCTTGTTTGGCTGACATAATTTGTTATACATCTTCGTAGTTAACATTCTTCCAAAAGTGGCTAAAGTCAATTGAATTGAGTCGAATTGAATTTTGCCAAACATAATCTTTTATGAACTGATGACAGCGTTGCGTGGGAAGTGCAGAGTCAACCTACTTGACGTCTTTTTTAGATAAAGTTATAAAATACTGCTATGTTCAAGCATTGCTTAACATATCATACCTGAAGTCGTCCATATTCGGGCGCTCAGAAAGAGATCTGAAAGATCCTAGCGCCACCTATTAAGACAGCAAAGCACAAAAAACTATCTAGAAATCTACTTTAACACTCTTTGGTTCTGCTACTGTCTTATAGATGGCGCTTATTATCCACATGTGAACATGAAAACAATCTTATCTTATTAACCGTAGGACTTAGAACATTGGCCCTTTCAGTAAAAATCAATGAATAGCCTACCAAATCACACACAATTCGATTCCCTGTATACGTTCCATTTCTACATTGAAATTAAGAGGAATTTCCGGTGGAACTTCATAAAACTACAACGAAAATCAGAAAAACCACACGAGTATGTCTACCATCCTGATTAGTATCGAATTCGCAAATTCTAACATGAACAAAAAAGTTGAAAGCACAGCCGACCTTCCTGTGTATCGTGTATAGGACTTGGCACCCTTATCCAGTTGATCCAATATATTTCTATAACAAGTTTTCAACATTCAATTCCCCAGTGACAATTGTAGCAAGTGAGCTAAACTTAAAAATTATCTAACGTGTTTGATTTTGAAATAATTAAACATGTAGATCATCAACATAAAGATGATAAAGTCCAACCTTCTACAAGCAACATGGACCTTTAAACAATAAATAAGTGTAATTTACGAAAAACTTCAGACCAAATATAAGCTGGGGAGTTCAGGTCCCCAAAAATTATACTGAAGCTTACATCTAGCTAAAACAAAAGGTAGCATCATATATGCCAAGCTAGTTAAAAATAATATAATTACTGCTCCTTTTTTACTAGGATACACCTGGTTGACTTGCACACTTATTCTTCCCATTATAAGTTGTAACACAGTTTGATCTCACTAACGCGTGTAGCACCCTTCAGTTTTAATTAGGTCGATTTTTTTTTTTTTTTGTGAGGGGGGAATGCGTTTACGCACCATACCATAGCCCGAGCTACGGCGTGTGTGGGACTCCAGGTTGTCCACCTAATACCCACTAAACCCTAAACCTCCGCGTGGCCCGACTCATCAGCGTCTCGGTAGGCCATGTGTTGTGCGTGACCTGCGGTCTGCTACAACATCTCCTCATGTGTTTCAGTCTCTGGGAACGCCGGGTTGGTTCCCTTTACCTCGCACATTCTATCGATGTCGTTAAGCGATCATCGATAGAGGGTCTGCTAGGTTCTCTTGAAACTCTTGTTTTCGAAAAATCAAGAGTTTCAAGTCCTCTTACCAATATGTTGTTCCTGGTCCTGGTCGTGGCGGGTCCTGGTCCTGGTGGGTCCTGGTCGTGGCGGGTCCTGGTCCTGGTTGGTCCTGGTCCCGGTGGTTCCTGGTCCTCTGCATCCACGCCGTGGGGGGGGGGGAGCAACCGCGGGTTCTCCTAGTCTCCTAGTCTAGTCAAGGTTCCAGTTAGCGGGTGCCAACTGGGACCTTGGTCTAGGGTACCTGGTTCTGCGGTTGCGAGGCCTCTCGTCCGGATCGTAGTCCATGAGGAATCGTAGCTGATCGTTCGGGTGGTCCTGAGCTTTCTCGAAGGTCTTCTCCGCTTTTTTCCTCATGTACTCGTGGATGGTGTCCCAATGCAGGTCTCTACGCAAGGTTGAGTTTCTTACGTAGGATGGTGCACTGGTGGCGATCCGGAGTAGCTTCATCTCTAGAGCAGCAAGTCGCTTGCGGTAGCTGGGGGCAGCGTACCCCCAGACCGCGGAGGCGTAAGCGAGCTGAGGTCTGGCGATGGCCTTGATCAGCCGTAGCTTGGTCGCTAGCGGCATCCGGCTGTGTCTACCCAGTAATGGGTAGAGTTGAGCCATGGCTGCTCTGGTCTTTGCGATGACAGCTTCTATGTGGGCTTTCCAGGTGAGCGACTTGTCAAATACGATCCCCAGATATTTGACTTTGTCGCTCCACTGGATATCCTCGTCGAAGATGGATGCTTCGAGAGGTCTTGCAATCCTTCTTCGTTGAATGAAGATTGCCTGCGTCTTCTGGACGTTGATGCGGATTTTCCATTTCACGCACCAGTCCTGAATGTGGTCCAGTTCATCCTGTAGTCTCCTACGGATGATCTCGGGTCGTCTATGCTTAGCGGCTATAGCAGTGTCGTCTGCATATAGGGCCAGCATTGTGTCAGCTGTCTTCGGCACATCGTGAGTATAGATGTTGTAGAGCAGGGGGGCTAAGCCTGACCCCTGGGGCACGCCTGCTTCCAGCTGTCGTCTTGTTGAATGGCATGTACCAATCTTCACCGTGAACCATCTTTGTGTTAGATAGCTCTGGATCAGTTGGCACATGTTCGCATCGATTCCGGCGGCTTCCATTTTGGCGATGAGTCCATCGTGCCAAACTCGGTCGAAGGCTCGTTCCACGTCCAGCAGGACGAGACCGGTTGCCTCCTGGAGATTGAAGCCGCTTGTGATGTTTTCGGTCAGTCGTAGCGCATGGAGTTCCGTGTTGTGGGAGGATCGGAAGCCGAATTGCTCTGGGGGGAGAAGGTGCAGTTCTTCTGCCTGCTTCTCTAGTCGAACGGCGATAGCCTTTTCGACTACTTTGCCCATCGAGGAAACCAGGCTGATGAGCCGGTAGTTCTGGGGCAACTTCCGGTGCTTGCCTGGCTTGGTGAGCATTATAACCTGGGCTTCCCGCCACCGCCGCGGGAAGTGGTTAAGTCTCAGAGTGGCATTGGCGATGTTGGTGAGCGCAGCAATGCCTTTGGTGGGAAGGTTTTTCAGCATCCTGTTGTTGATGCCGTCCCTTCCCGGCGCCTTTCTGACCTTCAACCTGCGAATGATCAGACGGATTTCCTCTGGACTGGAGGGATGATCCGTCTCCTGGCCAGGTGGTCGACTCCTCATGATTTCGGCCGCGACTTCCACGGCCTCCTCGTGGTTGTCGTCCTCGTCTTCATGGTAATTGAGTCTGCATTCGGATTCTAGCGAATCGGCGAATTCTTCGGCTTTTTCTTCACTGGAGTAGGCCAAGCCGCGTTGGCGTGGTGCGCTGACGACGAAATTTTCGCTGCATAGTCCAGGCCGTACCATCCTGGGTCTCTAGTTCTGCACAGGCTGCATTCCATCTGCTGTTTTGGAGTTCCGCGAGTGCGTTCTTCAGAGCTAGCGATGCTCTGTTTCGCGCAACTCTCGACTCCTCAGTTGGAGATGTTCTCGCTTGAGTCTTCTGTTCTCCCTGATCAGGTGCCTAATATGGTGCGGTGCTGGACCATTTAGGTGTCTAGGAACTGCCGTAGTCTCGGAGCGGGTGCTGTCCTCGTGCGCTCGCAGGACAGCATGCTCCAGCTCCTCTACTGCGTTGTCCAGTTCCTCCGCTGATCGGATGGTTGGAATTTGAGTGATGTTCCTTTGGACGTTGGGTTTGTACAGGTTCCAGTTCGTCCGTTTGGTGCTCAAGCTATCTCGAGTTCTAGACCCTGTGCCAAGTGTTAGTAGAATCGGATTGTGGTCCGACGATCCTTCCACCAGGGTCTCTATCTCGAACTCCTCTCTGATGTTGCGGAGGATGGCTATGTCCAGTACCGCAGGTCGCCCAAGGCCGAATGGAATGTAGGTTGGTTGCTCCGGACCGACGATGACCCCCGCCAGGGCATCGACGTGTTCCTGGAGCTGCCTTGCATTCCTGTCTTCGACGTTGTTGTTCCATGCCGGAGACTTGCAGTTTAGATCTCCGATGACTATGCGTGCTCCTGGGCCTCTCAGGAGGTCAGCGATGTCATCTTCGTCTAGGGCCTCCCCTGGTGGCACATATAGGGAGGTGATTCTGTAGGGACGGTGGTTGTGATGGACCTGGACCGTGATTCCGTCCCCATTGATGTCTGCGGCATGACTCGTCAATGTACGTTTGACGAGTAATGCGACTCCTCCACCTCTGCCCTCTTCTGTCGTAGCGGTACGTCTCGTACCGCGTGAAGGTCAGACTATGGGCAGCATCCAATTTCGTTTCTTGGATGGCCATCACCTCTGGTTGGTACTGGTCTAGTATCTCCTGGATTTCTGGTTTCCGTGACCTGAATCCGTTGATGTTCCAGGAGATAATGCGTAGAGATTCTACGTTTTGCCCTGTAGTCATTTCGGGTCTAATGCTTGTCTTGCATCTTGGCCTCGAGTGCATCCAGGCGGGTTATGATGGCTTGCATCATTGCTAGCAGTCTGTCATCGCCGTGTTGCTTCTGCGCAGTAGTTCCAGTAGCAGTGGCGGCTGCTGGGGCAAAAGTGGACATAGGTTTCTTCGCTTTTTGAGCGTAAGAGGTCCTATTTGTGGTGGGAACTGCTTTGGGGGCAGAAGCAGCTTTCCTCGGGGCCTTACTACATCCCTTGTAGTTGGCGGGGTGGCCTTCTCCACAGAGGCAACACTTGGCGTTTCGTTGCCCTGTTGGCGGCGCTGGCAGACTGCAGCTGGTGCTGCTGTGGTCCTCTCCACACTTAACGCACCGTTCAGCGAGACGGCAGTTCCGCTGTGTGTGCCCGTACCGCTGGCAGCGGTAACATTGGCTGGGCTCGGTGGAATTTTTCTTCCTCTCGAAGCTGACCGTGAGCATGGCCAACCTCTGGATCTCTGCAAGCTTTTCCGGCATCTTCGTCTTGACGAGGAAGAGCGGAAGTGGCTTCTTGGTGGTCCTTGAGGTCATCTGCTGAACCTCGGCGTCTGCGATGCCTTGGCTCACTAGATCCTCTTTGATGTCATTGACTGACATCTCCCTGGGTAGCCCACGAATGACCCTCTGGTCCATCCTGTCCTCCTTCAGTTGATAGGTGAAGAAGGGCCGCTTGATGGAGTCCAGCAGTGCGACTAGCTGACGATAGTCATGGTGTATTTGTGAACACCTTCACACTGTTACCCGCCGTCCTCGCCTTGGAGAATTGGATCCCCTTGTTGTTTATCATCCTACTTAAGGATGACCAGTCAGCGGTGCCCTCGATGCTGATGGGGGATGGGGGGAACTCCTGTTCCCGACATGGGGGGCACGATGGTCCTGGCTGCTCTAGGACTCTTCTTGGTGGCGGCAGCTGGCATCTTTGGCTGCCTTGGCGACTCGTCTTCGGAGGAGGAAACTCGCACCCGCTTCCTCCGTCTGGTGGCGACACTGAAATCGGTGTCGTCGGACCTCTTCTCGGCTTCTTCTTCTATTCCTTCGGTCCGTTGAGTGCCCTCTTCTTGAGCGTCCATCTCGGCCGACGTAGCCTGGTGGTCCTCTTCCTCCTCTGCTTCGGTCTTCTTTGCGGCCTTCTTCTTGGCCCTGCGGAGCTTCCCGTTCAGGTCCTCGATCTCCTGTTGAGCCTGCAAGAAGGCTTCTTGCAGGTTTCGCATCTGCTCTCCCAGCATGGCGAAAGCATCTTTCTTTTCTTTCAGCTGGTTAGCCAGCTTCTCAATTTTCGCCATCGTAGATGGCAAACAACCAATCTATCGCAATGAAAATCGCAATAAGATTGCTCAATATGTCCGGGTGGGTCGCAGTCGTGCAAGTATACACTCGCAACGACTGCTAGCTCGGAACTGTCGGAACTGAATTTAGGTCGATACCTGCGGATCCTCCCTTTTATACCCTCACAGGTATGCAAAAAAAAAAAAAAAAAAAAAAAAAAAAAAAACAACACAAAAACGTATCTGAAAGAATTTAATTTACTAGCTCAAATGCTTTTTAATGAGGAATTAAGGCTGGTAGGCGTTAGGCGATTTTCTAAGTTGCTTTCAAACGTAGCTTTATATTTGGAAATTGGTTATAAGGTATAATTTTCTATTTCGGAAACTACTATTTTATTATATTTATTACGTATTTTTGTCTGGAATAAGAAATGTTAAGTCTGATTAGTGAGCTGAAAACTGCATCAAAATCGATCAATAATGAAGCGAGATATCCTAGAACTTCGTTTGCGGTAAGGTAAAGAGTGCTTTTAATGTCCTGCATTTTGATCGGGTATCAAGTGGAATGCGTTAATCAATGCTTGATGCTGATGATGATACGAAATTAAAATAAGCTTTAGAGAGGAGCCAAATATGGTTTATAGATCCTGACGCTGTCTATGAGACAGTAGCACAACCAAACACTAACTCTTTTATAAAGTATATTTATGATCTGCTGCTGTCCGATAAGCTGGCGCTAAGATCATTCAGATCCCTGTTTGTGCGCCTAAATACTGTACATGATTGGTTATATCCAGATAGAAAACGTTCGTCCGAGCTTTAAGTGACACAAATTGACGATTTTCAGCCACCTGTTATGCCAACACCTTCAACATTACCCGGCGTCCCTCAAGCGGCTCCAATTAAACGTCAGAATATAGGTAGACCTCGTGGTCGACCTCCAGCTCCAAAGCAACCAGGTCAATCACGACCTCGTGCCAAATCCAATTCTGCCAAGATGTACAGCTGGCAAAAGAACTTGATCGATCAGAGCTACGCATACGAGTACCTCAAGCATTATCAGGAGGAGTTGATTAAGCAATACAGTCAGAATATGAGTTTGAATCAGTTGACGCAGCTTAGTCAGGTAAGACAAACTTTATTAGTGATGAAGTGTACAAATCAAATTGTGACAAAATATCTATTCACACCTCACCTACTTAAAAAACTCCGCTAGTTAGATCAGACAAGTTGATAATGGATCTAGAAACTGGGCGACTTCATACGACTGTGGCTCCAAAAAATATTTTTAATGAGCCGCTTTTGAGAAATACAGTTCGCTCATAACGATTTACACTGCAGTCTATCCCTAAAAAGTTTGACATTTAAACGTTGATTAAGCAATATGAAAATATATATCCCGGGGACTTTTTAGATCGCTTATTACACTGTCCGTCAAAAGTGAGCCGAGCCTCTCACCCAGAGACCAGACTTTAGCACTTAAAACTAAAAAATATTCTCACCAAACGGATCGCACACCTAACGGTCACGTCTGCATCTGCATCTGCTTGTGACGTCGTGCCAGACTTGGTAGTATTACTGCCGGACCATTGCATAGTGGCCGCGGTGCCACGTCTCACCAAGTTAGGTATTGGGGAGAGGCGCCGTTGCCAGGGAAATATATGGACCTGTTTGACTGACTTTTTTCTCAGAAAGTCAAGTCTGTGCAGGACGCCATTTTTTATTAGAAAGAAATGTACTATTGAAAGTAAGAACTTGACATCGGGTGAGTTGTGGGCTTGTGGTTTGTGTAAGTTTTAGATATTTAATGGATTTAATGTTAAGGATTTATGAATTTTTTAGTTGGCAGATCTCATTTCATAAAAATACATTAACTTGTTTTTGGTGTATTACAATCCAAGCTTCAGCTTTGGTGCACACGTAATCGTAACGTGCATGTAGAGTATCAAATATAGTGAAATTCAGAAAAATGAAAATTTCAAAGTGCCATATCTCAGAAAAAAATATACTGAAGCAAACTCAGTGGCATTTGAAAGGATAAATCATGTACTCGAGACGATGTATATGGTTTAAAAATAATAAGTCGCCAGGCTACAGAACCTCAAAATAGCTATTTTTGCACTTTTAGGTTAGGATACCTCCGAAACTAGAGTCAATTTTGGGAAATTTGGACCACCAATTCGGATTCAGCGCATCCAAAACTTTCGGGAGAGTATACTTTGGTTTTTGCGTGCAAATTATTATCGATAAGTATATATTCTTAATGGCTGACCGAGTATACTGGATCCTGTTCCAAAATTGATATCGTTCTAACTGGTTTTTGTAACTTCGATATGCATTTTTTAGATCATGTTCATCTTTATTTAGGTACTGGCTCAAGGCCAGATTAGCAATCCTCTGACAGCAGCGGCAATTACGAATCAGTTTTTGAGCCAAACAGGGCTGTTAAGCGCCGGTACCTCCGGTGTGGGAGGTATGATGAAGCAGATGCAAGGAGGCATGAGCCCATTGGCTGCTATGCCTCTGATGGAAGGTTTAGGACAAATGAATACCACTGCGAAGAAGAAGACTGGTGTGGATCAAGCAATGGCTGGCATGTCAAGTGGTCAGTACATTATTAGCAACATTTGAAAGGCCGATGTTTACCGGCGGAGACAAGGATGACACATTTGTATCATATTTACGTAGGTCTGGCTCAGTCAAAAATTGGAGGGTGGGTGTTAATACGAGGGATGTCTTTTAAGTTTTGCATATGGAAATAAAACAACACGGTAGGTAGTTTTAAATGACTTTATTGTTATGTGTTTTTTTTTAGTATTCTCCACGAAGATTAATACACATCTGCATGCGCTCGAACCAATTTTCGAAGCACTTATTCCACTCGTTTGCTGGCAGATCCAAAACGGCATTTTTGAATGCTTCAACTGCTTCTTCTGGTGACTGGAACATTTGACTACGCAGTCTGTTTTTAATTTTCGGGAAAGTAAAGAAATAGTTAGGACTTAGATCGGGACTATATGGAGGATGGTCCACTAATTCCACATTTTCTTCCGTTAAATACTGCCTTGTTTCTTGGGCTGTGTGCGAGCTTGCATTGTCTTGGTGGAGGATGATTCTTCTTTCGGGGTTGATTTTTCGAAGCTCGGTGACGACTTTTAGCACACAAATGGTGGTATACCAATCCGCAGTAACAGTTCTTTGCTCATTAAGAGGAATTGTTGCAATATGACCCGCTTTTGACACAAATGTCGCGACCATCTTTTTCGAAACACTTCGAGAACGGACGACTTCTGTTGGCTTTTCTTCACCTTGGAACACCCAAACAGCCGACTGTCGTTTATTTTCTGGTTCATAACAGTAAATCCACGATTCATCACCACTAACAATGCTGTACACATTTTTTGACTTTCCGGAATTGAAACGGTCAAACGTTTTTTGACACCAATTAACCCTGGCTGCTTTCTGCTCTTCAGTCAACAGGTGGGGTATCCCACGAGAAACTAATTTTCTTACTCCTAATTCTTCATGTAAATTTTTTTGAATTGAGGTCTTTGAGATCTTCAAAGACGCCTCAATCTCGCGATATCTCACATGATCTTTAATGATGAGTTTGCGGACAGCATCGGTTTTCCTAGGTGACTGCCGTTTTTGGTGCACCCACCCTGGGATCGTCGCTAAGACTCACCCGTCCACGTTTGAATTCTCCATACCAACGGGAAATTGTCGACTGATGTGGCGCTTCCTTGCCGAAAACAGACAGTAACTCAGCAAGTTGTAATAAATTATGGCGCGAAAATGTTCTAGGTTGAGTTCCAGTTTTCTAATGACTTGGTGATACTTAAAAATTCACTGTTGTGAGAACACTGCACGTATTGTTGTGAAACTTTGAATTTAAGTTTAGTAAAGAGTGAGGTTAAGATTCAGTACTGACGTCCGATCCGCGCGGCCTACTTTGTTTCTGTATGCAAAACTTAAAAGACATCCCTCGTACACTTCCAACCCCGGTAATTCTACGAACCTATTAGACATATTCCACACATCATAGATTCCTCCCTACATTTGCCCTTAAGATTTAGAAAGATACAGAAATGCTTTCGATACGCGTCCCTGCGTCCGCTCTCTGGCTTCACCGTCGGGTGTGCCGACCTTCGTAAGTGTCCTGGCATGACTGATACTGTGCTGCGCAGTCGCGTCTCACGCATCGTGCCATCAGGTATCGAGGAGAGGCGACGTTGCCAGATGGACTAATTGTATGGATCTATTTGACGGACTTGACCTTTCAGTTTCTGTGTTATACATGCTCGTAACTAACTTTTTTCTCAGAGGGTCCAACTTAAACATGCTGCTTTTGTCAATCCGGCCAAAGACAGCAAACATGATGGGAAATGCGGAGTCAACCTACTTGACGTAATTTTTTTGCAAAAGTACGCACAAAATAACTATGAAAAGAGTATATGAAAAAGAAATGTTTCTGAAAAAAATCCTGTAACTTGTGCAAATTATAAACGCATGTTACTTTAACAGATTTATAAGGTAAAAATCTTATCATCTACAGATTGTATATCCATTAAGTTTAGACCATTTTTAGATGAATTGCTTCTCATAAAGTCTTTATGATTATAGATCAACTAAAGTTCCTTGAAAACATGGCAGCTTCTGCATTAAAACAAACAAACACAAGTCTTCCAAATAGGAGTTCGATTCCACACATGATAACCACCACATCTGGAATTGCTTCGAGCAGCACTAGCTCAAAATCTAAGAGCCTGTCACCTACAAAATCTTCCATGAATTCATCAAAGAGTAAGCCATCTACATCTACACTGTCTAAGTCGTTGACTATGTTTAAGGTAATAAGTATTACATAACTGTTTAAAAAAATAACAGATAATTTTAATGCAATCATTCTTGGGAAGTGCAGAACTAATCTACTGCCTTTTCTTTCTCTATGTCAAACAGCAAAATATACGTTTATTCAACTCTCCATAGGACTAATTATGGCTCTAAGCGTTTCATAGAGAGGATTCTCAAAAACTATGATAACAGTTGTATTGAAATTGGCCTCGTCCGTCATAGCATCGATGTGTTTAAAAACAAAATAACATAATCGTAAATGTTCCAACAATTGACACTGTATTTAGTTACTTTAATTATTGTTTTCCCTTATCAGTCCTACTTTTAGATTTAGTTTTATGTCTGTTTTTTATGCACTACGTGGGATTATTTCCGATGTGCACTATTAATAAATAGATTACTACCGAGGACCATTTGATTTATATAAGTACTCAAAACATTCAGTCTGGTATCTCTTATATAAATTAAGACTTGACACCTGTTTCAAAATGGTTAGCATTTAACAAACTCAAATTAAACACACGTCCTGAAGAAGAAAATAAACATTTTTTAAAATATGTATGTCATGAGCAAAGAACAAACTTTCTTTCTGACTCTCTAATATTCGATTGCGTCACGGCTGTAACCTCAAGAATTTTACATGTTGTAATCCCATCTTCATAGTCTCTATACGAACAGTAATTTAAAATACAAACGGATGCGAGTTACAAAAATTAATAACACTATTTCATCAAAAATTGAAAATATGTTAGATGTTCCACAGTATCCTGGGACCAGTCCTTTCTATTTTATACATAAACGATTTACCTGGAATAGTCAGAAATGCAAAAATCAAGTGTTAGGTAACGACACATTGATTTATTAAAATACTCAGACAGGTATCTTTTATATAAATGAAGACTTGAAACTTGATTCAAAATGATTAGCATCTAACAAGTTCAAGTTAAATACAAGTAAAACAAAAGCTTTGTTAATTGGAATAAACCAATGTTCATCAAAATTGATGGTGAATATATAGAATTCGTAGAGAATTTTAAATACCTTGGGGTTTTTGTTGACTTTCATTAAAATTTTCATATTCATTATGAGAAAATTATAAACAAGATTAGTTGTAAAGTTGGATATTTATCAAGAGTTTCTTGATGTCCGAGTTCATATAGTAGAAAAATTATTATTCTTCCAAATTTCTTGTACTGTTTGACTCTTCTATATTCAGCTAAAAAATCAATTTTTGAAAAACTGCAAATTTTATAAAACGTTTGCATGAGTATAATACTGACTTAAGATAAATACACTTCAACTAGATAAAAATATAAGTAAATAAAAATTAAAATGGTTCAATGTGGAAAATGTTTTCAAATATCTTGTAATGACATTCATTTATAAAGTAAAAAATAATATATTGCCACCATGTCTAACTAAATTAACATCATCAAATGCCGACCATCATTTACACATTACCAGAAATGAAGTTGACTTCCACTTATGTCCAAAAAGTATAATATAATGCTAAAAATCTGTATTCTATCAAGGGTTGATTGAATATAATAAATTGAAAACAGATATAAAAGATCCCAATACATTGACAAAATTCAAAGTAAAATTGAGGAATCACTTGTTAAATCTACAATTATAGCTTGCCCACCATGTGCATCATATGGCTTGATTTATTAATTATAAGTTGTTTATCATTATTGTTTATGTAGCCAGTAATTGTGTGGGAAGTACAGAGTCAACCTACTTGATGCCATTTTTAGTTGTCATATTTATCTTTTTTTTTTCAGGAACCTTCAGTGTCTAAAGCAAACCTACCAGATGATCAAGCAACAAAGGATTATATGAAAGACAGACCAAATATCTCGATTACCCCTGTGTCTGTCAGTTTACCACCCCCTCTTCCCGTATCTGTCACACAATCAACGTTTGTCAAACCACCACTTCCCTCATCTAGCTCTGGTATGTCTAAAACAACTAAGAAATAGTTATAGTTTATTTCATTGTGATCTCAAGAAGGCTTTCATATTTTTCGAACAATTTTTTATTTTTCTCAAATTAGACCGTTTTGGCAATCAATGATTCATGTGTTTACATTTACGTATGCGGTATTGTTAAAACACTTATTATTCTAGTATATTTGAAAAGCTTCAGTAATAAATGTAGTCTATTGTTTTTCATTATGATCTCAAGAATGTTACCTTTATCGAATAAATTTTTATTTTTCTTACATTATGGTTTCAGTTTTATTGGTTTGTTCGTGTTAACAGGTAAGCAAAATTCTGAATTGATCAACTTATTTTTTGTTCTTGATATTCTGTCGAATATGCACTTCAGCTACAGGCGCAGCCGAAACTTTTGAACATTTTTCATTAACATGGCATCTTGTTTTATTGATGGCGACAACAAAATAAAATAAGGAAATACAAACTTCATACAAAAAGTATATTCTTATACTTGCTCAATACAGTAGTTTGGCTATACAATCTTTGGGACGAAGTTCGGATTTTTTTCTTATGTTGATGGGTTTATGGACGCTTGTCGATTAAAGATAAAATCCTCTAAAATGCATTTGACCTGAAATTTTAGGTGGTAAAACCCTGCAAGAAAAATTAGCAGAAAAGAAAAAGGAACAACTGAACAAACAACTCAAATCAATGGAAGCAACTATAGGCTTTTCCAAAGAAAAAAGGAAGGAACCAGTTACTGCAATGTCGACGAAGCCAACAGAATTCTCCAGAGAAAAGAGGAAGAAAAGCATGGAACAAGATATGCGTTCAGCTGATAGCTTCATGAAAGGTCTAAATCTCCCCAATATCCCATCGACTTTGACCGTATCCAAGACCCCTATTCCATCTATCAGTCAACCATATGCAATTCCGAAACATCCAAATATCCTGAAGTCTCTTGCAGGTAGGATTTACTATTTTTGATATTGATCAAATTTCAACATTATATAACCCGCCCTCAAGATATTAACTCACCACCAAAAATTAACCAAAAGACCGGAGTATATTTTTTGTATTACCATTAGTTAATATATTCCACCAGAAGATTACCAATCTTAAGTTGAAATCCGTGACCCCTCATGGTTACAACTATGTATTCACCGTCTTCAAGTGTCAGCATTGCCACATCTCATACTGTTTCTGCAGGTTGTAAGATTCACAAATTCTGAAAATACGAAACCTTAGTAATAATTGAATCCGTCAGTGCAAAACCTCGTAAGTCCCATAATTAGAATTTTTCTGGAGACAAGAAAAACTGTATTAACGACAAATAAACCAGTTTTAGGGTGCTTTTTTCGGCCTAATGTATTTGAGTTCTGCGAGATTGAAATTCACCTTCCCAATTTATTTTTCAATAATAATGGTAAAACCTCGGAAAACTGTTATGAACTTACGTTGTTTTAGCCGAAAGTAGGGTTAGTGGTATATAACTTAAGCAAAGCATTCATATCAATCAAATTTTTCATTGCTCACTAATAAAAATTACATGCAGCATATTTTTTGAGGAACATAAGAGATACTCGGGTAAAGCGAACAACTGAGAATTTTTTGTTTTACATCCAAACCTTGAATTGACCATCGAGGAAAAATACATACACTTATTCCGTTAACTTTTGTCAATAATTGGCAATCGGTTGTAGAGGAATCCGCGTGCTTATTTGACTAGCAGGCATCAAAATGCATTTTATTAACAATAAAATTAAAATTGCAACATAAGAGTTGTGCGTGTAGTTTTTTTTTGAATATCTTTTCCATCAATACATTTTCTATTTCTTTATCACCTCTTCATGACTAAATATTTTTTACCTCCTTTTCGGAGAAAATCAAAAATTCTTTCGCCTCTACTTTGGGCCACCAGTATATCAGTAACACGATATGTTTGTTTGCTATGCTCGGGAAACAAAAAGCAAGAGAGCAGCAAATCACATCGCACGTCCATGCTAACGCGGCTGCTAATGTCCAACAAAATCAATCGTGAATTTATTGAATTCGTAGAGAATTTTAAATACATATATTAGAAAAATTATCTATATTTCTATCATCTAAATTTCTTGTGCAGTTCAACTATTCTATATTTAGCTAATAATTCCAGATTTGAAAGAATGCAAATTTTACAAAACAAAGGGATGAGAACAATACTGAATAAAGATAAATATACTCTAATTAGACAAATGCAAATTAAAATGGCTCGAAAATTTTTAACGAATATATTGTAATGATATACATTTATAAAGTAAAAAATAAAATAATTCCACCTTGTCTATCTAAATTAAAATCATCAAACGCCTCACATCATTTACATAATACCAGAAATAAAGATGAATTTCATTTAATGTCCAACAAGTATAATATGCTACAAATCTGTATTCCATCACCGGTTGATTGATTGATACTTTGACAAAATTCAAGGCAAAACTGAGAAATTATTTGTTAAATCTTGTATAATTATAGCATGTGCATCATATGGGTAGAATTTACAAATTCTAAATTGTTTATAATTATTCTATTTATGTAGCCAAACGTGCTAAATAAAGCTCTATTTCTACTGCTACTACTAAAAGATCTCGGGCAAAGAATATAAGGACTGTAATCTTATTTTTGTAGTTAGTGAGCTTAAAAATAATATTTTGGTGCATGTAGCACACGAATATGAAAATAAAATAATACAAACATACTGGTAACAAATGGACTTAGGTGGCTCTTGCAATGATCGATTCAATCATGAAGGATGTTGAGGGCTGATGTTTCCTTGTTAGGTTTATATTATGTATAACGAAACAGTTTTCTTCTTTTATTAAGGCAATTACAGGTACTTTTTTGCGGATTTTAGCGGTCCACAATAAAACCGTTACTAAGTATTTTTCATACATTCTCCCTCACACATACATTATGCAATAGCAGACGTACGTTTTTTAGTTTTGCCTCAGGAAAATGGTCTCGTCTGCGTACGAGTCTTCCACATTTAAGCTTGACACTGCCAGTGTGACAACTTACTTGTCATTGGCGTGTGATTTGGGTTTCCCTCTTGTTGATCTTCAATATAAAACATAGTAATGCCTGAAGATACAACTATAATGTCGGTAGTCCGTAATAAATTTATAGAACTATTTTCAGATTGTGAATGAAAACGGTCACTATCACCCAATTCATGCGCGTGCAAAAGCTGTGTTAAGGATCGGCTGGCACAATGTGCAAGTTTCCCTTAGGGAAGTTAAGCTATCTATGTGGTACAGTTAGCCAATCTGTTTACCTACTTCGCATATTATAACCGTCAAAAACCGTGAAAACACTGCGATCCTACTTGGCAAAAGCGCTGTGACGATGGAAATTGTATGCCATCATCCAATTACAGCATAGAGTATCTTCTTGCTTCTTGGAGGACACATTACTCAATTTTATTACCTAAGTGGTACTCTCAATAACGTTATTGTGGCATAACGTTTCCGCAGTATTTTTTATATAATCGTTAATCTTCTATTTTTGAGTTTAAAAAATTGAATACTAGATCTTCATACTGTTTGCAGGGATGCCAGCTGGCGGTAGTTCTTGGCTCGATCTGGGACGCGCATCTACCAGCATTTCTCCGATAATTCCAGCTAATAAGTCTCCTGCTGTCAGTATACCACCGACAGTTAATTTCTCGAAGCCTGTGATGCCTTTTGTGCCACCGAAGTTTCCGTGTGATTCTGGGATGTCTGTAAGCCAGGTGGGTTCATATTCAGTTTTCTAATAATATTTTACGTGTTTTGTATATACTGCGCACCAGATCCAATGATTATTTTTAGGTAAATAATCAAAATTTAGTGATTTGTAAATATTCCAGGACTGGGATGATGTGTGCAATATGCATGTTTTATGGTGATCAGGATGGAATCCTAAACATTTTTTGCAATGCAACCGATTTAGTATAAGATTTATTGATCTTAATTCTGATCTTTCACGTCATTTCGTGGGCTTATATGTGATTCATAGTAAATTCTACATTTAGAGACTGCAGTTCTTTTCATCAGACGAATAATAGATAGGCTATTTAAATTATAATGTAGCTAGCTTCAAAGCTGTTTTTTTCTGACTGCTCAAAGGAAACTTCTTATTCAACTAATATGCGTGAAATAAAATTACATATTTTTTGTATTCAATATCTCCGAGAAATTCTTAATGTAAGTGCAATCTTTGCATTTATTCAACTGATTTCATAATATTTGCGGTTGCCTATGTACAAGAAATATTACTTTATCAGTGGAAGCTCGTTGTCTGTATCTTTTTTAATATGTTCAATTGTATGACAGAATCAGAAACCTGCAGCTCAGCCGAGGAAACCATATATTTGGAATCCATCATTTTAGAAAGTAAATCTATATCAATTATGTAAGTCTACAGACATGTATTTTGATTGAGGAATGTTTTCTTTGTATTCCTAGATGACATGTTTCGCTTTTGTAGACCATATATATAGTTTAAAATATAGATTAGTTCCTAATTTTTCATTAAGTCAATATTTTGTATGTACCTGCCTTACGTTCTTTTAGATAGCCGAAGCATGAATGTATGTACTCGCATCTTGGTTATGGATATTAGCTTACAAGAGTAAATGTGGTTCTAATAATAAAGGACCAACGAAATGCATCTCTAATAAATTTGAAGATAGATATTTGCCTTCTTGTAAAATGTCACTCAAACAGAGAAATTATACGATTAGTATTAATCTCATATTACATAAAAAATGGCTCATATGACCAAAAAACTATTTTTTTATTCGGCCCCATACACAAAATTTGCGATTATATCAAAAAGGATTTGCGATCTGCTAGAAAAATAGATCAAGCCTAATACAATAGATTGATATCACAGCAATAACTCTACGTTTGCTTAAAAATAGCAGTGTCACTACTTTGAGAGAGATTAGATTTGAACTATGTTTCGAGCAGGCCTCAATACCTTCTTTTTGATTGGTCGAATTTGCATCTCCGTCACAAATTTTGTGCCGCAGCCAAATTAAAACATAGTCTTTTGTAGCTAGGTGTTATATGTACTATTTGTTGATTCATATGAGAATTAGGGGCCCATCTTTCAAAATTCGTATAATGTTTAAATTCGTAAAGTGTTTCTCTAGTTTGAGAGAAATTTTTCAAGAACTCCACCAACGACCATATTCGTTAAATCCATTACTTCTCGTTGATAGTATTTGTGCCATAGGCGCAATAGTAAGATCGATCAAATAATGAATCAAATGGTAATATGTACGAGGTGTGTTTGAAAAGTATCCGACTTGCGTTCATGCCTTCTCGCCAGCCTGTACGAGCGGCCTCTGAGGGGTATGAGCGTAACCAGAACTCCCTGAATGCCGTAGTTACCGGCCGCACTCATTGGGTGGCGCGTGGCGTGTGTTTATGTTCAGCCTGTTTTTTCCGTTCGTCGCATTTGTTTACTGTTGATGATGAAAAGGTCCTTAAGAAGGTTATTACTGGTGTTGAAGCATAGGCTTATTGTTACGATCCTGAAACTAAACAACAATCTTCATAGTGGAAGTGTCCAGATGAGCCAAGGCAGAAAAAAAACACGCTTTCAGATATTGAAGCACCGCTAGGAGCGAGTGGTTAAATCAAATAGGAACTACTTCGAAGGATGCCACGGCCCGGATGACGAAGATTGGCACCAATGCGGAGATATAAACGCAGGTCGGATACTTTTCGGACACACATCGTACATTATAACCTTTCAAACATTCTATCAACTTTTAACGAGGGTTTAGGCATGGTCCAAGATAGTCTATATGGTTTTCTTTCTAGTTTTTTTAATGTTCTTTTTTTATTTTTGTATATATTGAATTTTTTTACTTTTTCTCGCATTTTTATTGATTTACATCAATAAAGCACTTTATTGATACTATATGATTTTTTAGTCACGTAACTCTTTTTTTTTTAGGTTTAATACTGGGTATTTGTGGGTTGCATGTGGATTATTTTTATGTGCTATCAGTTGAAATGCTGTTATTTGTACTAATAATTAGATGGCTCTCTTTTAGTTCAAATCCATGAAATCAAAGCCTTACAAACCAAAACAGAAGCCTAAAAAAACACCTGAAGATTCATCAGTGGGGATTTTGGAAAAATTCTCTTTGGGCTCAGCTGTAGAAATTTCACCAGTAGTAAAAGAGGCTCCACCGCGAAAATCTACTAGTAGTAATATATCTGTCAGAAAAACAGTAGATATTTCTATACCGCAGGATAGTGGTATCGAAGTGACAATATCTCCAAAAAGGCCACCAATAGTCAATACTAGTGGTTCAGATGATGTTATTTTGATAGATTAGTGGCATAAATCGTTTTTAGAAAAATGTTCTTTTTCTATTTATATGTAGATTTTTCTGCTTTCTGAATAATAAATTATGTATACAATCGTTGCTGTATTTTTACATCCCCCATAATCATAAATAAAGAAACAATACATTTTTTGATTCAGATATAGCTTTTTGTATCATTGCATCCTCATTATCAAAGGAATCTTCATTTCAGTCGGTTTTTCAAATAAAGTACGGAACAAATAACTTTAGCAACTACTGCATCGATTTTAACGAAATTTTTATAACCTTGTATAGTTGTTAAAAATAATTATAATACGTTAACATACATTGAGGGTCAGCAAAAATATAACCTTCACAAAAAAATGACATATCTATCGCTAATTACAATCTAAGCACTTATCTTAAAAGTTCTGTGGATACACAGAATCAAATTTGTCTGGTGGCTTGAGTTCAATGTGTACGAGAGAGAAGTGTGTATAGACACATATGTTAGAAAGAGATAGAAGCTGGACAAGGAAGCTCATCACCGCGTTGCCAATATGTTACACCAATTTCTTGAATTAAGATGCGTGTTGATAATATGCGTTAGTTTATTCTCTACGCCCAAATAATGGTTTTATTTTGAGCGTACACATTTGTGAATTGTGTCGAACCTGTTTAGAATCGGTCCTAACGGTGCTCCATTTTAGATCGAAATGAAGGTCATGCAAGCAAGGTTTCCACCTTTATGATCATAGATGAGCGATTTTGGTCAGTACCCATCTAGCGATCTAGCGCTCATTGGAGACTGTCGTCCTGCGTCGAAATACTTTTCACCTGCGTACATGCAGGCAGTGATAATTTGTGTTGCCTAATGGTATTTGTTACTAAAACACTAAAAAATATCATAATAATACCACTTACTAAACTAATGCTTCAGTTACCTCTCCACTAGTGCTTATAACTTTTTACCAAGCCACATAAAATCCATTTCAAATGAAAATAGATTCAAAATTGAAATAAAAAAATTCTTGTTATCTAATAATCAACATTAAATAGCAAAACTCACTCGAATGAATGCTAATTAGGTTTTGAATATAATGTTACTACACTTACCTTTATGGTTATATGTTTTGGTTAAATTTATGTATTAACTATATTTAACTATGTTCAAAGCAAAAAGTGTTATGAAAAATGTTTTTCCACGCATAAGAATGAAATTCTTGTGGGGGATTATTTCAGTTTATTTGCGTATATACATATTGTGACAAATCATACTCTCAGCGCCATCTGTTGGGCGAGTCTCCTACTCGCTAGAGCTTCATGGCCGATCTCTACTTTTACACGAATCACGGCCGCACCAGCCACCTGGCGGCGGCTATGAGGACCGTGACAGATATCGCTTCATGGTTTTTCTCGCAGCGGTAATTGAACTATATATAACTCGGCGGCCGGGAGATGGGGCAGAGAGTACGGAATACGGTAGCAGAGCGGAGAGAAGTTATCGTGAAGTCAGTGGTGTACATAAATGTTCTATTTAGTTAAGTTGTAGGTGAGTGTGTTGTGTTGTAAATAAATTAGTGCATTTCTTTTTGTGGAATCCAGAGTTTTAATCCACACCCAAAAGAACCCAGAAAAACGCTACAATATATACAGGGTGGCTAATATATTATAACTGACTGATTTAAATTGGGCGCCATTTTTGATACACGCATTTCAATAGGTGGCAACGTAGTAGTTGTTTAAAGCACATGTCCAATTAATCATGGAGCGCTACACGATCCCACAACGCTTCCGTATTGTTAAAACGTTTTACTTAAATAATGAGTCGAATGTTGCAACCATTTGGAAGCTACGACAAGATTTCGGTCGAAATAATGTGCCCAGGGCCAACACCACTCGTCAGTTGGTGCGGAAACAGTTGAAGTTAAAGACTTTCCAAGGTCGGGCCGTGTTCGTACTCAAGAAAATATCGAGATAGTCCGTGAAAGTGTAGTGGAGCGCACTGATACGTCTACCAGACATCGTTCTCAAGAACTGGGTATTCGACGCTCGTCATTATGCACTATTTTAAGAAAAAGACTTGCATTTCCAGCCATAGAAAATTCAGTTAACCCAAGAACTACAGCTAAGTGACCATGAAAGTCGCCAAAATAACGATTTTTACCGACTTCTGATAATGAGCGATGAAGCCCACGTCAATATAAATGGATTCGTTAATAAGCAGAATTGTCACATCTGGGCATTAGATAACGATCGTGTCATCCATCAACGACCACTAAATCCTCGTCGAGTCACAGTTTGGTATGGAGGTGTCATTGGATCTTACTTCTTTGAAGATGCTGCAAGTAATTCTCTTACTGTCACAAGCGCTACCGTGATATGGTGCAAAACTTTCTGGCTCCTCAAATCCAACAATATAACCTGCAAAACATGTGGTTCCAGCAGGACGGAGCAAGCTAGAGAAACAATGAATCTTTTGCGAACAATATTTCCGGGACGTTTAATTTCTCGATTTGATGATGTCAACTAGCCACTAAGGTCACCGGATTTAACGGCTCCTGACTTTTTTATGGGGATTTTTTAAAAATAGGGTTTATGCCAAGAAAGCAAATACTGTAGAGCTGCTGAAGAGCAATATTACGGAAGCGATAATATATTTTTTTAGTTGTTGAAAATATTCCTCCCGAAACCTACCAAAAAGTGATCGAAAATGTAATCAAGAGGGCTCAGGTTTGCACGGCTTCTAGAGGCGGATATTTGTCTGATATTATTTTTCATACATAATTTCTAAGTTTCAATAACTGATTAAGATGAAAAAAATGGACGTATTTTATTTCATTTCACAAATATTCAAGATAGATAGTCAGTTACATATCGTCCACCCAGTATATATATATACAACTTATATTATTATTAATTAATATATGCATAAAAAATATTTTTCTATCTGCTCTCTTTACCCTCTTCTTGACGAACGTTTGCACAGTGCAATCGTTGAAGTTTATCACAGTTTTGCTAGCTGAAGACAATAATCATTCCCAATAATACTGCAGAAAAATTTATGAGAAAAACCCTTACACAGAAGTCCTATATGAAATATAAAAACATATATGTCACAACACTAAAACACCACTGAGAGTCAATCGAGAACCCTATAGTGAACACCACTACTGAAAAAAGTAGCTAAACTGAATAGAGCTCTGCACAGAGCTGTGAACGCGCGTAGACATGCCTCTGTGCCGACGGTTGCCGAGAGACTGAAGCGTGTGGGTGCTGTACCTCGCTGCGGCGATCCGGTACGGCCGGGTAGTACAGCCACGCCCCTTTCCAGCTCCCACTCCGCGCGTCTGTTTCCGGTCAACGTAAACATCGCCCGACGTGCACAACATTTAATAGTATCTAATAGCAACTTTTTCTAAAAACAAATGCTTGATTCCAATGAATATGAACATGAGATATAACTGATAAAGTGATGAGGATTTATAAAAATGCAAGTTTGCTGAAGACCAGTCTTAATTTGCTTGTACTTCCACATACATGATACAATCAGGAACTGGAAAAGTGAATAAGATAAGCTTAGCAGAAGGATTTGTTGGCATTTACTGACTGGGGTCAATCGGTCAGTCTCACTGAATTCAAAGACCAGTATTATACTAATAGGTATTCACATTGTTCAGTTCTGATCACCAGCTAAGTGCTAGTGAAAAATCATCTTGGGCTCATAGGAAACTATGTTCTTGAAACAGCTCAAAAGAAAGCTTCGACTTGATATCAGATATGTATATCGACTTGCTAGTAGGAGATAAATTTGTACAAAAAAATATATTTTTTTAGTTGTTTTACCATATACATCTTTAAAAAGTTAAGTTTTTTGTTAAATGAGCTATTTTTATTATTATGCATACTATTTTACTGTAATTTAAATATCAATCCTATGCTTCTCTTGATGTGAAGTGACCACAAAAGATATATACTGCAGTGACGTTGGAGAATAGACTACGGAAGATCGATTATCGATCATAGGACGGAATGGATGCGAATTTTGACAGCGCTGCGTTGCCATAATTTGCCACCTGAGAGGTGTATAGTCACATTGTGGTTGACTTATTTTGAAGTATATTAACATGTGAATCATACACGTTAGAGCTCAAAAGTTTTATGACAATGAAAATAAAAAAAATTAAAAAGTTATAAAAATTCTGTTTTCTGTTCTGTTTCGGCGAATTATATCCGTTGTCGCCAAACACGAGCACATAATATTATTATTGAGACAGGGCGGTACTCAAACTTCCAAAGGGCTATAACTTTGTTACTTTAATTTTACCAGAAAAATGGTAAAGGAAAAAAACATTTCTTTTGATCAGATCTACTCACTGTTAAAATAAATGACTCAACTTCAAAGTCACCCTGTATGTACTTATATTTTATTTATTATGTTTTTTTAGAAAATACTATGTTTTAGTCACTGTTTTTGTTCATTTATTGTTTTTGATTATTTATTGTTTGTTTTTTCAAAAAGTATTGTTTTAGTTTATTTGTTGACTTTGATTATTTATTGTTTATGTTATTATTTATTCACTCATTTTAAGCAAATATTCATTTTTATTTTTTTATTTTCATTGTCATAAATTTTTTTAGCTATAACGTGTATGATTCACAGTTAATATAAGCGTTATGATAGTCATTATTTAAATGGGTGATAGGGAGGTCGAAACAAGTCAAAACGTTCATATGACCCATGGTCCAAAAGTCAATAGATTTTTGTCTAAATGGCTTTATAGTTTACTACTTCAAGTGCTTTATATCGACCACAATCACCACAATCTTACTAATTTTTATAATCTAATCTAAAACGTTTTTAAATTGGGTAATTAACAAATAAATGGCATTAAGTTTTTCTAAGTTAAGCCAAAATTTGTAGTCAGTAAGTTTCATTAAATTAAATATTTAAAACACACATGACAACAGCGCGTCGGTCTTTCATCACTCTTATCGAACCGGCAATCGATCGCAAACTGTAACAGTGGTTAGTTATTGTTCGCGTACGTCGTCGTGTTTATTTACAATGTTCTCGAATCAAGAGTTCGCCGACAT